CAACCCCATCCCAAAAATCCAACACTGATCCCACTCAACATTTGCCTCTACTTTGACCACATTTTTCACCTTATGGAAGTATATATTGCTGCAAAATTCCTTTATATAATCATAACTTGTGTCTATATAGTTGGCATATGAATGTGCACAGAACCTGTGTATGACTGAATACCCTCAGAAACAGAAAGAATCCTACATCATCCATCAATCATAAAATGTGCCAGCTTGTCAACAATGTGTCATCATGTGTCTTAATGCATGTATAATCACCCCGTGCACGTGATGTGTCATACTGGAGCATCAGTGCCGTTCAGAAAGACAAACAGCCGATTGCACAATCATCGGACAAAGACTTTGTGATGACAAGTGTCATTACGAAATAAAACGTGTACCTTGGCTATGCAATCAAATTATTGCCCTTTGCTTGCTATACATGCTGTTCAAATTCCTGATCATCCACGTAACTGACAGTCTTTATCTTCTCACTGGGCCAAGCACTTCAGCTGTAGTCCATACCATATTAGAAATAAGATGCAGAGCGAAACTCCTTCCGTCTGAGTTTCACAGTGTCCTTTGTCATAGGTTCCTGTTGGGGGTTGATATAGATTGAAAGCTGCTAAGGACCAACTTGACTCCAACTACTACAAATATTTTCATACTTACCGCTGCTATATCAGATTTCAACAGAATGCCAAACCTTTACTTGGAAGATTGGACGGTGGATAGAGGAGGAAACTGGAAAGAGAGAACAGGAGGTGACATGCAGCAAAGGGCTACGATCCAAGGGCTGCCCACTTTGAGAAGACAGCCTCTAGCACACAGTTTAACCTCTGAGACGTACTTATTACTGCTAATATTACACATATTTTAACTAAGGTTGCCATTGGCTGGTTGGGTTAAGCAAGTCTTTCTGCATTTTAAACAGTTTTAAAGCTGAATTTACAATGCAAAGTAATTCTTAACAGTGTCTCCATTTGGGACTCAAATGACTGCATTGAATCTGTCTACAATATTGAATGTCAGTTGTCACCCACTGTGGCCTTATCCACAGGTCTGTGGTGACTTTGCACACACAAACTATCATCCTCTCTGCTTTTGTGGTACGGCTGACTACTGACTTATGCTTAGCTCATAGTTGATGGCTCAAACTCGAAAAGATTCAAGTGGTATTTTAATTCAGTTTGACACACAGTGCATCACTTTTGACTTGTCAACTGAGCCAACTGGTTGAGTTTTTACAATGAACTGTGCCGCTACAAAAGCATATACATGCCGTCATCCATCAAAGCGCCGGCGGGAAATAGTAAGGCACTGCGGCAGCTTAATTTTGGTGTGCCGAAAAGAACAAAGAAGCACACGGTTGAAAATGGTGTAACTTTCTGTCCACGATAGCATCACGATCAATAGGAAAATGCTAGAAGTCTGAGCTTTTTACAATCCATACTATTGGGTAAAAGCATAAAAGTCTAGATCTGCTGGTTTTGTAAACTATCCTTATATCATAACCACGTATTTTAACATTGTGGCTCTTTTTTAAAAGCAGTTCATTGACTTTTTTAAGAGACATGTAAGAATTGGGTCATCACTTACAGCGCATTACCTCGTCGCTGTCTTTATTCATCAAATTGCTTTTTGGAATCAACTCAGTAAAAGTAGTTTATCAGCTTCAGACTGAATCATATGTCGGACAGGCGGTGCATTGACTGAACTTGTGCCTTCCAGTAAGTGTTTGGTTCTCGGTCCAATTATTTCAGAGCCACCCTTGCTTCTGTCAGAAAGCGAGGCACACCTTTTATGAGCACTTTTACAAATTAATTCATCCAGTTTGTATCAGCATGCAAGGTATGCAAGCATCTTCATGTGTCAGCTTCCTGTGGTAGCGTTGTGAATGTATCAAGGCAAAGCCTGGCGAGGTGTGTCCGTCCCACTCACAGCCGCTCGGGGTGAATCAGGAGGAAATAGTGGCAGGAAAACAACAACGGCAGGCTGAGTGCGTCGGGCATGGTTCATTTTTCTCCTGAGGCAGAGGGCGGCCCATTGGTGACTTTGATGGATAGGAATGCTGCTCACCCACACACACACGCACGCCCACACATGTCCCACACACTCAGTCTCTCACACCAAAAACTTGCGGGTTGTAGTTTGTACGCGGACACACAACCGGTAGTTGGATATATACACAATCGCATACACGCAAGCTGCTCCGTCCCATCAGATTTGATAGCCACTGTGAAATATTTACGGCCCGCCCACACAGCCTTCCTCCCCTGTCAATAAACTCTTCCCAGAAGTGTGTGTGTGATGCATTATCATGGAGCTGCACATGGGGGTTGCTCTTACATCTTCCATCACAGGCTTAACCATGTGCATCCTACTGCACCATGCAACACACAGTTAAAAACATTTGGCTTTTAGGGCTGCATTATGATAAATTCATGCATTAACACAAGTCTTATACTAAATCAGATTGTAATTTGTCACGTTAGCACAGAGAGAATGAGGGGACATCTTTTATAAGCTGCTGTGAATTAAAACAAATTGCATACTAAAGTAGGTCTTTCCGCTACACAACGGAGAAAATCTGCTCTACTTGGGAATGAGAAACTGCATACTTACACAACAGTGAAAGAAGTCAAGTCAACAGGACATGAAAGTTGCAACTTTGTCAGAAAAATATCAGATTGTCAGCTTGACTGCAAGGTCTAATTCAGGCAAGCAAGGTTAGAGTGTTCTGCTTGACCCAAGCAGTGTTGACAGCCGCGGCCTGCTGACAAGTGCAACCAGGCCTTCCAAAGAGCTGAAAGGAGAACTTGACTCTCCAGCAGCCAGAGCGACAAACATTGGTTCACATTAGCTTCCCCTTTGCTCTTAAAATCCCGTACACACAGATCAACATGTCCCTGCCAGCATGACAAGCGTCACCACAAGCTACAGAGAAAGCAATTACTTAGGTACAGCGTTTGGCTTTAACAAAGGGTTGTTTTCCAAGTAAAAGAGGGAGTTCAACCAACTCTGTTCTCTTTGTTCCACTGAGTCAGCATCTGACTGAGAAAGAAAGAAAGACAGAGATGGAGACAGATAAGGCGGGGAGCTGTTGGAGCTGGGGGAAGACTGGCACCTTTGTCTGCTCCTGGAGTCTCTAGGAGATGTTCCCTTTGAACACACTCCTCTTTCTCTATCACACACACACACACACACACACACACACACACACACACACACACACACACACACACACACACACACACACACACACACACACACACACACACACGGATGATTCAGTTCTCAGACAGTGTGATAACATGCTGCTGGGGCACAGAGTCCCCTGCACAGTGGGGAGGAGTGTGTCTCTGTCATTGGACAGACAGCTTGTGCTGGTCCTGAGTCTGGGGGGAAGGATTGTTCCTGGCTGGTGCGTGTGAGCTTTTTCTGACACAGGGTCATAGCTTTTTTGTTTTTTTCTTTGTTTCCTTTGGCACATTGCACAACATCTCTCTTGTCCTTGAGGTGAACCTTGTGAACCTTATTGTGATGATAATCACATATCCGGGCATGGCTGTAATCATTTCAGGGGAATATTACAATAGTTTGCTCAAACCTACAGTGTGTCGACATTCAGGGATGGAAAGTACACTTCCTCAAGTACTGAACAGAAGAATATGATACTTGTACTTCTGAGTGCCTGACACTTAATAAAACTATGAAAGCTCTAAGTGGACATGTGCTCTTCTTTGTAGTTATTTCATCAATTTTACCTTGAATTGAAGTACTTTTCAGATTTTTTCTCAAGATTTCTACATATTTGTGTTGTTATCTCTCTGTTATTGTATAACTCCCCAATATCTTGACCTTTTTCTTTTTTGTTACACAACATAACAAAGCTGCTTGGCCCATTACAACAAACTAAGCCTCCATCTTAGTGTAACACAGCTTGTTTTCTCATGATAACAATAATTTTCCGTTGATCAAGAAAACCAAACAAGATACTCAACCATAATGCAGCCATTATCTACACTGATGGTATTAGGAAGCCTTATTCTACCTTTGTTTTGTGCTTTTGTAACTCTTGAGATATGAGTCTTGGTCCTTTATCATCGAGTCAGGATGTTGGGGACATCAACTACAATAACTCATCTAGGAAAACAGCATAAACTGTATGTATGGGAAGGATATGTGTCAAGTCAGGGCTTCTTTATTTCACTCTTTAAGGTCACAGTTAACTGTACCAATGCTGTTTAAGTTTGTTCATTTATTTGTGTTTTAATTGACTTTTAATGCATTTCAAGGTGATACATTCCATACTGTTTTATCCCTACTGATAGAGGACAATGAACTATGACCTATTTCTTCAACCACTTTTTACATTTAAATAAGACAAATGGCTGCACCATAATGTCACGTTTAGACTAAACGAGCATGGTGCTGATCATTTGAGAAGCAAAATTCACTTTGTAAAAAAAATGTTAGACTTGTTTTATTTATTTTTTATTTTTTACAAATGCTCATATATTTTCCCCAACAACACTGTAGTGAAAAGTGTATTGCCTGAAACACAAAGGCGAATCCTGCCGGTAAAGTGTGTGTTTACCCACGTATGTCCTGTCGTATCCAGGGAGACTGTTTACCTGCTGTGACATTTTTCTCTATGTCGTCACAAACTGGCAACACCCCTGATATCGCGAAAGCATTTATTTCATTAGCATTTTATTAAGGTGGTAAAGCAGAGAGTGGTTGTGTTTTGTTTCTATTTGGGTATCTACCTCCATTTAAAGCCTTATCTGTGGGTCAGAGAGGCACGGTATTAACACAGACGGATATCTTTATCTGTGGCTGCTTTGCGTAGGCACATTCTTTCCCACCAACGAGAACACACTGGACATAGAGGCGGTTACGGCGACGCAAGGCCACCTTAAATCACATGCTGACATAACAATCTCCACCCATATCCGAGAAGAGTGTGTTAAGATGTGTCTCACCTTCTCAACTACGCTCTTATTACCAAGAAAGACACCGGGGGGTTAACAACACACCGAGGCAACTCTGGACATAACTGCAGCTCCTTATTGGTCAGGACTCTTGGAGCTTAGTGCGTAACGACGCGCACTTCATACGCACAAGCCGAGTCGAATATTTACTGGAAGAAGCTCTAGGATATCCAACTATCTGGAATTATCTAGGAGTTTTGTCGCTGTCTGGGTTTATTTTACATGCCAAAGCTGGGGGAACAGAGTGGAAAACAGCAGACTTCAACGCGAAGCTTTACAGTTTTCGCCACAATAATTGGTAAGTAGTATACAATCTGACAAGTCACCGGTACATAGATTTTTTAGCAAGCTGACACCCCCGTCAACTTTGGCAGGGGTTTCATTGTATGAGTGGGCTACAGAGTGACTGGGGACAAGCAGTCAATCACAGATCGATAAAAGCCTGTTGTAAAAAGATGTCTGAGTCACCTACCATGTAAACTCCGTGAACATCATTAAGTTAATAAGGCTGGGTATCGACGGCAGGGAAATGTCATCGTTACTGTAAATTACAATTAGCAGCTGACAGTAAGTCATTGCTGATATTGCCTGCTAGAAGCACAATAACGACCGTATTATTACATAAAACGGTTGTGACAGCCGACTTTATGGTGTCTTACATTTTATAATCAACTCGTAGTAGGAAAAAGTCAATTATACAATTAGAAATGCTTGGATAGAAAAGCTTGCCCTATTACCTAAACTGAATGAACTGCCATTGTTAGACAGAAGTAACTATGAATCACTTATAAGTTTTGGTTGTCCGAGTTTCTTCGTTGGCCACTAGGTGGCGACCGAGCACCTATGTTTTCATGTGGGCCAATACCCCTACTTATACTGGGAGACCCACAAGAGGTGTGGATGTAAGCCTATGCATGCAATTTACAATCTGTCCCCTCTCTACAAGCTCCTCTGCTTACATTGTTGACCCACATTTGTTGCTCACCTCAGGCTGGAATATGTTAACCAGCTACATGAGACTGTGAAGCCACTGCATGCAGGGTATTCTCAGTCATCATTTTAAACAGTGATTCCTATCTGTTTAGTGGCATTTGTTGTATGCTGCTGCAAATTAGTCGACATCCCTTACGCTGAAGAGATACTCTCTCCAATGTGTAATTTGTAGATTTCTTACGATCGTCTCGATGGTCTGTGCATGTCGTCGAGGTCGGGGGGGGGGGGGGGGGAGATGGCGTCAGCACTCTTCATGCCATAACAACCTATAGTGATAAGGTGGATTTACTAGTGTGGAGCTAGTGGTCTCGTAACCCACGAACAAGTAAACTACGCAATAGCAGCCAAAAAAAAAAACACACACACTTTTTGTGTACTCCTTTGAATCGAGATGTCCTCTCTCCCAGGACATTTCATAGCACAGTTGACCTTAACATGCACATGACAAATAAACAAATCTTTACGAAGTTAATACTTTAAGGTTGAATAATTATTGGCAATTTAACTGATGCCAAATCAATCATTTGTTGGTTATTATGATGCTTTTACGTGTAAACCATATGGCTATTTAGCTTCTAGAATGTAGCCCAATGAGTGTCTATCCAATAGCAACCAACAATAAACGAGTTAGACCACTGGATAGTTTAAGTGTTATCGATAAACATCGTAAAAATAAGTAATTAGCAGTAAGAAAAAGGGTTGCAATAGCAAAAATAAACACTTCTTCATCTTAAATAAGCTCTCTCCAAACCCCCCTGAGACCTCTTGACAACCACGAGCCCCACTTTAAGAAGCTCTGCTGAAGGCTTCCTCTGTGGTATGGGCAACATATTTCATCCTATGCTGTAATTATGAATGGCCTAAACTCGCCTGCCCTCCACGTGGGTGTGGATCTCTTCTTACCATTGGTCGAGTTTAGCAGCGTCCTGGAAGAGCTCTCCCGTGATTGGTCGAGCTGCCTCCGGTCTGTGGGCGTATTTTTATCGATGGTGGAAGTAGGATACTTTGTGACACTGTTCATTGTCGATATTTCACAGGAGCTGCCGTGGGTATGAGAGCGGCGGAGAGCCTCCCAATAGCCGTATGAGGCTTCGCAGCTCCAGGACCGTGTGCTTTCTCTGCTAAAAGCTTGTAAAAACACCGAGAGGAATTTTTGTATTCTTTTTTTTCCAGGCCGCGTAGTTTTTGTTGTTAAAGGTAACCGTCTTGAGCGTCTATTTTGCAGACTACATACTTGGGTTTTTTCCTTGGTTTTCGCCCAATCAATGTAGCATTTAGGAGTGTTGCATGCATGCTGGAAAGGGAAACAAAGAAAACGATCAAACAAAGAGAAAAAAACAAGCCTTACGTAGTTGACTTTCCTGTGGGAATATTCTCATGATATCGACCACAGAGGAGACGGACTGGGTTTTATTCTGACTCTCGGAGAGCGAGAGAAAGACGCACAAGAGCCAAAGAGAGACCCGAGAGAAGGCGATCTGAATGCCGCCTTTCATTTGCGAGCAGAACACGGGACGGTAGCCGAAGCGACGGACCTGCTTCCCCATCCTCCTCACCCTTCCTCACTCCCGGCTCTGCTCGTCTCGCCCCCCAACCCCCTTTTCTCTGACCACAGGTTATCGGATGGACCAGCATCCCAGCGCCCGGAGCTGCACCAGTCGCGGGGCTTCGTCCTGCGAAGCTGTCCCGGCTGAGCCCTCCATGAATCTGTACATCCACTCTACCACCGGCACGCGTTTCGAGCTCTCCCTGCCCCTGGAGGAGACCGTGGAAGGACTGAAGAGGAGACTGTCGCAAAAACTCAAAGTACCAAAAGAGAGACTCGCACTGCTACACAAAGAAACGTAAGTAAAACTCCTCATTTTTTTGTTTGTGCTTGCCACAATTGTGCACATTTTTTGACTCGAGTCAGTCTGTGCTCGTAGTGTCAGAATCCGCACTAAAAGAAATGCGAATGAACCGAGTTTAGGTGCGTTGATCCTCCCGAGACCGCGAGGTATTAATCTATACTTTGGATTTATACGATGCTGAGCTCTCGGGAGATTCAGAGGCAACCTTGGCTGCTTTTGCCGTCAATACATTCAAAGAAACCACTGACCATCAGGAGGCACGGTATTGGAATTACGCATAGGGGACGCACCGGTCACTGGAACAGTATTGATGAGGCGATCTGCAGACTTGCATTGATTCATGTCTCCTTCATTATAAATACCGAAGCCTGACTGAATTACTAATGCTGTGGGAATCAAACATGTTAATCATTAATGAGTAAAGTCACAAGGACTAGGTTGCCTGTAATTTATTTACTCAGCTGCTGCACATGCATCTAGTTCATTGTTCATCTATTTCATGTCACTGGACAGTGAAAGGTGGACATATCTAGTAGTCTGATGAGGTTGTAAAAGTGTTTTAGCCACTTAAGTTGTTAAACTGGATTGCTTGCTGGGAGGTTTTGGCTTGCTGGTTTATCAAAGCACTCAGAAAATACAGCTAAAACAGCACACCGGGCTTTTATTATCTAAACTAGCCTTAATACATACTTGGTTGTTGTCAAATGAATTGTGTCTGAGTTAAATTAGCAAGCAAGAGTGCAGGTGATGTTATGCAAAAAAAGAAGAGGAAGGGTTTCAAGCATGCAAACAGCCAGCATTGTCTTTCAGCCCCCTTCCCCTCCCCATTGTAATCAGCTAAATAAATCACATCATCCTTTAAAACCTCAAACCATTTCTTTTTACTTCCCCTCCTGTCTCAAACTGTAGACCTACAGCAAGTCAGTGCTGAGGGCCTTTGTTCAGCTGCATGGGGTGAGATTTGGGTCATGCCTGTACAGCAGGCAGTCCTTAACATTCTTCGCCAAAATAAAGGAGGCATACAATCAGGCACTTGTATGTGAGTGGTTTTAGTGCAGGGTGACTTGCACAGAGAGACAATTTCTTCATTATGGACAAATACTCCAGCTCTGCACCAAACATTGAATACTAAAGTAAAATTCAGGTCATCTTGCTCAAAAACTAACATTATCTACATTTTGATTAACAATAGAAGCACAATGTCAATATTAGGTACTTATACTGTTTATCTATTCCTGGGTGTGTGGTTTTGCTTTCAACTTGTACATTTTGCTCCTCATTTGTACAAATCAAAATGCCAAAAGAAAATACTTACCTCCACTTAGGCAAGTGGCAGTGGTGCCAGATATCCACTGCGAGCAGTTGTCAAGCTCCACTATACTTGAAATTGAAATATGACAGCCCAATCAATACTTCTCTTTCATGGAGCTTTTCACCCACGGCTCTTTTCCAAACTAGTTTTGAAGTCTGTCTGCCCCCCTGGCTGAAGGGTGTTTGTGTGTCTGAGGAGAGAAGATATTGTCAGCACAGTCTAATTATCTTGTTCTCTCTACACCTGCAGGCGACTAAGTTCGGGCAAACTCCAGGATCTAGGCATATCAGATGGGAGCAAGTTAACACTTGTACCAACAGTCGAAGCAGGATTAATGGTAAGACCCACCTGACTGGGATTCTTGTTTTAGTTTGGAGTCCAGATACAGATAAAAGACAACAATCTAATTCATGTTTTTGCACGTGCATACTTGATGTACCCCCACTCCCCCCCCCAAAGACATTTTTAATGCTTTTCTCTCCTCCTTTGTAGTCTCAAGCATCAAGACCAGAACAGTCAGTAATGCAAGCCTTGGAGAGTTTAACAGAAACTCAGGTAAGAGCCAGTTTCTCTGTGTCAAAAATAGCAGCCTGTTCGTGTTTGCATGGGGAATATGGGAGGTTGGAGCTTTTTTTTTTTAAGGGCAGAGCAACACCCAGATATGACCAGTACAGAGAGAGGGAGAGAGAGATGAGCTGAGCAGGCTGCTCAAAGACAAGCCTCTTTGCTTGTCTAATCTCAGCCTCTTAAACAACCCAAGCCAAGCTAGACATCCACTGTGAGCTGTTAGGATATAATAAGCAGCAACACCCTCCTGTCTCCTAGTAACATCTGTGATAGTGTATGTGCATGTGTGTGTGTATGTGTGTGAATGTGCTTGCACATCACTGTGAGAAGCCACGGAGAGCATCGCACAAGAAAGGCTTATTTGCGAGCTGCTGTGAAGTCCTGCACAGAGCACACTCACTTCACTCTTTCTGTTTATATATTTATCTGTAATCTCTCTCTACTCCTTCTGTATTTCATGCTTTGACACACACATTCACACACACATGCACAGGCAAGTTTCCAGGAAGTGTGCTGTGGCGGCATGGAGACCGAGCGTAGTCTCACGCACTCATAAACAGAGTGCTGGATCACCAGATGACAGCCTTCTCACTCTGTATTAGCATAGGGTTCCTGGAAGCGGAGCTTGCATAGCTGAAGCGGAGCCTACACCTCGCACTTTAAGTGAAACGGCTCTGTAGGCCTGCTGAAATACTGTATGCATTTGAGTCATTGTGGCATGACTCACTGAAATGATCAATAGTGAGAGTAAAATGAAAAAGGCAGAGTTCTGCGCTGGCCGCAGCGAGAGAGTGCGAGCGAGAAGAGAGGCGATAAGGCTGAATGCACACAGACAACAGTGTGACGTATGAAACACTTTGCAGCTGACTGACTGACTCACACAGACTTCCTTTTGTAGCGTTGGGTAACACTGAGATGTACGTAAGTGCATCAGTGATGCACTGCTGGGCGATGTCAAAACAGTCCAAGATGGCGAAAAAGGATACTGATGTAAGGAGTTACATGTGTCAGTCATGCAGAGGTGACATCCTGATGAATTTGTCCTAAGAGTTATACTGATCTGAGTCACTTTTTTATCAGAGAATGTGGGCTGCAGGAGATAATGCAGTGGGGTTCGGTACGGCTTCGTTCCCTGCTGATAATTTTGTGGTGGAAATCCTTTCCTGGTTGTGTTTGTGTGTGAACTCAGCATGTGTCTCGTAGCACTGACATCAGATGACTGTATGTGTGTAGGTGTGTGTAAGTGAATGTGTGCATGTCCTTTCCTGGATGTGTGTGCGTGTGTGTCAAAGTGGTAGTGGGCTGGAAGCGAGTCTTGCCCATCATCTGGTACGCCCTTGCTGGGGCAGCCATGGGTGACTGTCATGTTCACCAAGTGCAAATGTTAATTCAACCCGCGGAGACTGAAGAGCAGATTTCGCAGTCTCGGTCCTGGGTTCCGTTTCCTTTAAAATTCGTTTTGAGTCCGATGCATCCATTTTTCATAAGATACCCTCACATTGCATAACTGCTGCATTCATATTTACTGTCTTAGTAATCATAATCCTGCAGTGGGGATTGAAAGAATACAGGGCACAGTTAGTACAATATCAGGCTAAGAGGTTAAAAAAAAAGGCATAAAGCAGCTTTAGTGTGTTTTTATCCCGAGAAATTGATTCCACTTTATAATTCATGAAGCCGAATGGAATGATATAGATTGCAGAGAGATTAAGGATCTGAGTAAGATTAGAAAATAGGAACACAAAAGCTTTTCCTCATTTCCTCTCCTCCCCTTAACTCTGGGGCTATCAAAAATCAATCAATGCACTTAGCTCTTAAAAGTGTCTGACATGAGAACTGATATGCCCAAACACCCAAAAATAGCCTGGGGAAAATGTGGGGTGGACGTTGGCTTGAGAAGTCACGGGTACTGACCCTGGACCCCCTCCTAGCCCACAAGTTTTTCAGTTCATTGAGGTATCATTTCCACATTGAAGATGTTTTCCAGGAAGCATGAGTATTCTAGGAAGACAGGACAGAGTGAATCTCCTTATGTCTTCTCCGTAAGGATTCCTTTTAGAGCGCACGGCTAGCTGCTAGCTAGGCAATCAACCAAGCAGAACATGACAGCTTCCAGGGCAGTTTCAGACTTTTGTGGAACAAGTTAGATAGAAAAATGTTTTATAGAAGTGGAGCCTCGACAATTATCAGAATAGGATATTTTTTTTCTCTCAAAGCTGTCTCCTCTTTTCCTCCCTTTTGCTCTCCTGTTTCTGCTTAACAGCTCTCTCAGGGCCCTATAATTTAAAAGTGCTGCGGTTTGCAAGTCCGACTTGCTGCCTCAATTTGACCGTGATGGCTGGCTTCTTCTTTAGCAAGGACAATCCCGACTGCCTTAATTCCCTCTCTGGCAACTCACTAGACTTTTTGCATGACATCTAAGCTGTATTAAGCCACTGCTTCCTGACAGCCCATCAAAATACAGTTGCCTGCACTCCTCTCTTCTCATTCTGTCTGCTAAATAAAGGTTGTATGTACAGCTTACATATGCATGGACACACGCACACGCATACACACCGGAATCAAAAGGATATATTTAAGAGGATTTCTGATCCTGCTCAGAGAATGAGAAAATGTCTGATCCCAGTAGTTAAATGGATGTATACTTACATGACAAGCTTTGACGGGGGGAATGAAAGCAATAGTCACTACTTGTGGGCATATGAAAGCATTGACATCATCACTCCCTCGATTGATTCTGGTATTTGACAAAAAGAGAAGGATTATATGTCCCTCTCAGCACACGGGGACTATTTGCTCATTGATGCACAAATTGATGTTAGAATAAAAGCCAACCAGGCAGGCAGGCAGGCAGGCATCGCCCTTACCATCCCCCTGCTGCCCTTCCCCCATGCAGCCACCTCTTTGTTCCTGTCTTAAAGCATGAGCACCAAACCTGCCCAGCTGACAGCCCCTCAAATGCACTACAATGATTGAGGGTCACTCTTTAAGTTTGGCTCTCCCCCCCTCCTCGCGGCCCCCCCCTTTTATCCTCTATACATACATCCACAGGCGCCAGCTATACCCCCATCGTGTGCGACTACAGTGGTGCATACCGGTTTCAAAATCAATGCACGGCCCAGCTGGAGTGAAGGCTCAGCAGGCTGCAGATTGACAAATTTTGCCTTGAACACTAACACAGATTGCTTTAGGAAAGAGGCTGAGTGTTGCCATTCCATATGTCCCCGCGGTATAAGCTGTTACATATCTGCTCTACTTTTTTAGCGCCAACTGTCCTCACCCACTCCTCATCCTCCTCCTCTACATCTAAGAACTTACAGTATGTCATTGTGCCTAGACTTGGACAGATGCAAACTCCTATATGTTGGGGAGTCACCCTCAGGTCACCCTCACCTCATTTTCTTTGCTCGTACTCCCTTAGGGGGTGCCATGTTAGGCCAAGCAGGTAGAAGCGAACAGAAAAAGGGGGAGCTTTGCTGCACTGGAGCATCAAACTGATTAGTGTTTATAGGTTAGAGGCAATAGGGAGGACAAGCACATGCCTCAGTAACTCAAAGACAAATGAGGAAAGAAGTCATTGTCTATCCATATATAGTAGTTAAGGCAATATATTGTAGACATACAGTAAAGATAGTCACATGTGTACCTGTACTTTCCTGTTTTTACACATGTATGCATGTAAAACAGCTCAATGAAAGTGGTCAATATGTTTCTTTTTCCAGCCCCTGCGCCCTGTACACCACCTTATCTAGATGCTGGTTAATCAGCAGAATTGACACACTGGAAATCATTGAAGAGTAATTGTATTGAGAATTTGGGAGGGCAAGGAATTGAAAAATGACTGAGTCTGTTTGTTGGTCAATATGAGGAGATCCTCCCCTTTTTATAGCACGCAACCCCCTCTGTGCTATTGAAATGAAGGCTTTTATATGCATGCAGAATAACAGAGAGGGTCTCTGCTCTTTAGAATGGTAATTTGCTTTTTTTTGTTACTTAAATGAAAGCTGGAGAAATTAATTTGTTGCTGGATGTGTAAATCAAATTGTGTATGGAATAAAAGACAATGCTGATCTAAAGGCCTTTTCAGTGCCCGCTCATGTAAATCCCGGCCTTGAAAATTGCATTAATAGGCTGATCACGCACTATTTTTTTGCACCTGTGTAATCCCCTTTGTGATGCTGAAATGCACAGCAGGAGGGGGATGCTGGGATGGATGGGTGGAGAGAATCAAGGTGTGTTGTGGAGGCAATCAAGGGAGAGATGGATTTTTAGGGGATTTCAGCGTCTCATTGTGTTCATGAATCTGCTCGATCGTGTGTTTGTATGTGCGCGCACATGTGCCGACGTTCGATTTAAATGTCTATTCCTCGCGTGTGTCCTCTCTCAGTAGAAACAGGAGACGTATCCCTCCATATTTTCGAGTCGTGACCACCATTGTTTGCCATTCCCCGATGACATTGAGCTTTTGTGATTCAAGTAGCAGGCATCGTGACTAGTGGGGCTAGTGTGTGGGAGGAAAGGAGGCCAGCAATGTCACGTCTGGTAGCCACCACCAAGTCTAATGAAGTCAATTAGACCTATACTACTGGTGCAGGGGTCAAAGGAACTATGTCATAAAAAAACGTAATGAAAAGTTTTGCAGGGAAAGGAGTGCATTTTTGCAGTTTCACCATAGCTTAACCCTTAACCACGGTGCTTTCTATCTGATCTCTACTCTTCCTTACTTCTTTCCTGCTTCCTCATTCGTACCCACTTACCAGATCTCAAGCAGCAAAGATGTGATTTCCTCACTCTTCTTTTATTAGCCTAATGATGTTGCAGTTTCCTCAAATGTGTCTCACCGGGTACAGAAACTGCTCATTGTTAAGTGACACTTTCCCTCCATCAACACAGGAGCCTCTTAAAGCCGTGTTTATCAGCCAGAATAAGGAGAGCAGTGAGTCGAGCAATTACAGCAAATGTATAAGTGCTATAGGTTTAGAGGCATGTGTGCGCATTCAAATCGGCCCTGTATCATGAACAGTTGTCGGCACAGTTGGTAGTGTGAGTGGTGGCTTTAGCTGGAACCTGATCATCCTGAACTTTGCCATTCTGATCCCTCTCTTCACTCAGCCGATCAAATTCAGTGATGACCAGCTGGTCCTTCTATTTGCTCCTTTCAACCCTCTCTGTTTCTTATCAGGCAGAATTGCAGACGACTATCCATCTTCTGGGGCCTTTGAAGAGCCCCTGGCTGCTTTTAGGATTTGGGGCATGATGCAAGTCATTGATTTTTTTTCCTTCTCTCTTTTGAGGGCCTGTTACTGCATCTTTAGTCAGTGTGTGCGTCTACTCAGAGACTATCAATAGTGTCTTGGTGAGATCAAAACATCTAGGTCTATAGGCGGGTTAATAAGCAGGTTTTCGAACCATCCCTTTCACCTAGCAGTTCGACAGGTGAGAACCTGAACTGCTGGAAGAAGAAGAAGACGGCTTCCTCCTCTCAAGGCTTCCCTCTCTCCACCCTCCTGTCCCGCCCTCCAATCCTCTATCCTCTTTTCTCTGGCACAAAGCTGCTCAGTTGTTCATGAATGTCAGCTCAGTGCTGCCAGCGCTCTCTATCTTTCCCTCCCTCTCTCTCGCTCCCTCTCTCACCCTCCCTGCCTCTCTTGGCTTCTCCCTCTCTCTTCCCTCACTCCTTATCTCCCTCCCTTAGTTCGCTTAGCTTGCAAAGGAAGAACGACTGCAAATGAGTTCCTTGAACCACAGGGACCCCAATAAATAAAACTGTCAGCCAGAGATGTCGAAAGAAAAAAAAAAGGGAAGGAGCCAGAGGCACACTCTCACTGAATATTTCATCACGCACCACCACCACCACCATTCTGACACCCTACCCCCATCACCCGCATCCCCCATCCCCCCTCACCATCCCTGCCTTCTTCCTCTCTCATGCCACCCCCTCCTTACTCCCCCATTTTTCCTCCACCCCTCCTCTCCTTTAGTGCCCCTTATCATATTCTCCCCCATCACTGCATAGCAACTGAAGCCTCTGCTAAATAAAATAGCACCTCCTGGACCCCGGCAGCTGAAACAGGGTGGTTGATGGTGCTGGATGTCAGGTCAGTTGTTTAAGAGGAGGGCGGGTGACAGTTAAATGGGAACAGCCCTTTATCAACACCTGTAAAAACTCACCTGGCCCACACCTCGTCCTTCAGGTATGATTTGCTCTCCTCTTTGCATACCACTGCCGCCTCAGAAAGGGAAAAATGTGTGGCGGTTTCTGTCTGCCTTAACACAACAAAAGTGGGTCCCTCCTCTCCTCTCCTCTCCTCTCCTCTCCTCTCTTCTCTTCTCCTCTCCTCTTGTGTCTCATGTCTCTCATAACAAACCGCCACAAACAGCAGTGAGGAGGCTGGCCTCTCTCACAGGCTCATTTAAAGGCTGCTGTGTGGTGTTTGGAGCTCAGTAGGAGTGCATGAATCTTATCTTGGTGGTTTTTGAATAATCCACACTAGTCATTATAGGGGCAATCAAGCCCCCTCTCTGTTACTCCTGCTGTCACTCACTGCCCCAACCTTTTCTCTCACTTTCTCACACATGTGGTCTCTCTCACTCGCACTCGCAAAAAAGCCCTGTTCAGACTTGACATTAAATGACATTTTGGGTGGTTCCTTTATCATATCAACTTCAGGCTGAACACTTTGAATATATCCCCGCTGGTGCACTGTACCAATTTGACTTGCCTTAAAAGAACTCTGTATTGAAGCAGCTCAAAAAACCTCTCTCTCGTATAGGTGAGAAGAACAATGCAATTGTTTAAGAGCTGAAGTTGCACTTTCTACTGAGCTTAAGCAAGTAGTTCAGGATGAGCCGTAACCAGTCTGTCCTGGTACATCAACAGCCTGAGAGACCGTTTTCTCAGAAACATATTTAGAGAAATATGTAAACTATTGTTGTGGTTTGGCTGTTCCTTCCTATACATGAAAATGGTGTTCCTGGCATCTGAAAATGCGAACTCTCAAAACCTGGTTCCAGTTCTTTAGAAAACGGCAGCTCTTCTGTGTCGGTGTTAACCAGAAATACACAAATCCTGTGAAAACACAGATGTCTTTTTGCTGAAGAGCATTGTAGCGTTCTTCATCAGAGTTTCATTCGAGTTTTTAATCAGTTTCTGGCCTGTCTTACATATTTCAGCATTATCAGCCATTTTTTTTGGATTTTATTGTGCACAGGGCGTTTCAACAACATCATATGACCACAAATTATTTCAAACTAAGAAGGAAAAACTGTAACATTAAGGCCCGACTATACTTGAGGTCTTCAGGCCTGTAGACAAACGGATACTTCTTAAGGCTGTTACCCTCATCCCCCTCCCTCCTTTAAACCAAACACTAGGTTGATGGTCTCCCTCAGGGGGGCTCTGTCTTTGTATTCCCGTCCGTTGTGTGTGTGTTTGTGTGTATTGTGGGTTGGCAAACTGCCGACTCATTCTCTTGACAGCTGTCAGTCACAGACACAGTCAGTGTCTCCTCCCCTCCTTCTTTTCTCTTGTCTCTCTCCCCCACCCACTTTTGGGATCCCTCCACCCCCAGAGGTCTCAATCAGAAACAAACACACACAAATCTTGTCTATCAGGTGACCTTTTATACGTGGAATTTCCTCAAGCCTTCTCAGGTAGCACCCTACCCTGTTCTGCTCCTCTCTTCACACCCCACCCTTCTCGGTTTATTGTCTTAATCATTGTGGGTGTCGACTCAGCTATCAACAAGCCATTATTGTCTTGAGTTTACTCTCTAAAGAGGCCGAGTTTCTGTTTATCCTCAGGCATTATATTTGCTGATTGTGCTTCCCAGGCTGTTGATTATTTACATGTTGAAATGCAGCCATTAGATCAGTCCAAACCCCTCGTCCTTTCACCTGCCACTCTCCTCCATCTGTCCTCCTTTCCACACCGTGTCAATACCAATGTGCAAAGGTCACCCTGGCAACAGAGAAGCAGTGGTCGATAGAGAAATAAATAAGCAGAAGGAAAAAAGGAGAGAAGTGATGAAGGGCAGAGCCTGCTGATTCATAGGGTTAACTACAGGCCATCATCTCACAGGCACACTCTGAGGCCTGCTGGGTCTGGAGGGAGTGAGACCTTTGCTCTCTTTTTGCTATCTTTGTATCTTGGTCTCTAATACTTATTTTCTCTCCTTTGTAATTATTCTTTCCCACATCTTCCACCCTTGTTGTGCTCTCTCTCTCCCCGTCTTGTTTTGCTTTTCAGTGCCGCTTTTTTTTTTTTTGGTTTCCCCCCTGCCTGGTTCCCCTCTGGGGACTGAAAACACACAGACAACTGAGGTTGTTGAAACCTTGTTGGACAAAGGCGTCACTTTCTATTTGCCAACACTGGAAGTTTCTGTTTGCTTCTATTTGGGGAGAACCTTAGAAGTCATTACTGCTGAGTCTTCGAGACCCAAAGAAGCTTTTTGTCCCCTGAATGACACTTGATCGAAGACACAGCGCACACACATGCACGGACTTTCGAAGTGAGCATTAATACACAGCCTCAGTGCTAAGAGCATGCAGGAGGAAGACAAGAGAACTTTTGTTTGTATGTATGAATCCTCCAGCCAAGTCGTGACGACTCAGCTATCTTGTGTGTATTTGTGTGGGTCCATCCGGGCCACTGGTGGGTCAGTGAAGGCCTCCACACTTGGCCCCTGTTAGCTGTTGCCAGAGCTCCTAAAATGGGCAGCCCTTCCAGATCCGCCGCAGACAATCGGCCATTCTGTGTCTGAATGTCAGGCGGGGTGTATTTCCTGGACGTGGGACTGATTTTTTCAGGCCCCGGGCCAGACAGAAGGGTGGCCTCTGTCTCTTAGCAGAGCGACACTGCTGACTAAGAACGGACTGCGGGGCAGTGGGAAGCAAGAAAGAGTGGGCTCTATCCGTGTGTGTTTTCCAATAGGTCTCCTCAGCTGAGCTTGCCCAGCAGATGTAAATAGGGCAGTGTTACAGAACTGTGATTGATCGCATGATGGGATAATGTGATGTGTCTGTGTCTCTGTGAGAGGGGGAGCCCCTTAAAGCACAGTTGTGTTCATTTTAACCGCCATCCATGGTGCAGACTGTTCATTCACATAGAATAAGACACCACAAAAGGGTGGGTGGGGTGGGAGGTGGGGTGGTCAATACTGTCTCATTATATTGTTGGCTTCTCTTTAAAAGGTAGATGAACTTAATCCTCTCTCTGTCCACAGGTCAGTGACTTCCTGTCCGGCCGCTCTCCCCTCACCCTGGCACTGCGTGTTGGTGATCACATGATGTTCGTCCAGCTCCAGTTGGCAGCACAGCAGTCTGGCGGTCCCCAGCTCCAGCACAGACACCTCATCACCCGGGGCAACACAGACACCGCTATGGGACAGCCTACAGGGCAGCCGCGTGTTCCCCACCCTCACCCTCACTCCCATCACCACCACCCCCATCATCCCCACAGTCACCACAGCCCCCACTTGTCCCAGCCTCCGCTGGTCCCTTCCTCCCCCTCGTCTCCTGGCGCTCCATCCTTTCCCCTTCCATCCACGCACCACCAGCCACTCTCTCCCATGTACCACCAATCGGCCTCCTCTGCTCACTGTAGCCCCCCTACTCCACCTCCTCCAGCCCACTCCCCTCGCCCATCCCACATCCCCGGAGGTCTTTTCCGCTCTCCCCACCACCACCACCATCATCATCATCACCACCACTACCACCAGCCTTCCTCTGGCCAACCCAGCCAAGAAATCGGACAGGCCAGCCCTGTAGCCCCGGTCCTCTGTCCTGAGGTAAGCATTGAGATATTGTCAGTCTTCATTCTTCTTTTCATTTACTTTTAGCTAAGTGAGATGCGAATAAAAATATATATCATTTCATTCATTAATAAAACCGCTACAATATTGTGGAAGTCTTTGGTTGAATAGCTCAACCTTTACATAACTGATGTCATCTGTGGCACTTAGCTTTCTCATGAATGAGTAATGGCGGGGACAGGTTTGACTGTTTGACCTGGGTGCCATGCGCTCAACTAAATCAGCCTCCATTAAATTGATTAGATTAGCGGGATATCCCAGCGGCATGCGGGCGATCCCGTGGTTTACTTAGGTTTGCTGAAGGTTTGCACGTGATACATGTGTGCGTAAGCTTCCCAACCACAGTGCACTTAGTCATCACTGGAGTGCAGTCAGCTTCCCGAATTCATACAAACACACACACACACACACACACACACACACACACACACACACTAGCCCAAATGGTTACGGCATCCTAATGACCTCATCCTGTCCACTGAGACATACAGGGGGAGGAATGAAGGATAAAAAGCATAAGAGGAAAAGACCGATAAAGAGACGGATTAAGTGAATTTGTGTTTATTTTCTAAGCGAGGTGACGGATTATTAACCCCACATTGTCAGTGATTTGTCATTGACCTTAACAAGCATTGTTTCCTCACTCCCAACAACAGCTGCACACACACACTTTCTTGTCTCCACCAACCAAATATGCTGTTTATACTTTCTGGACCTCTGCGCTCCAGCCTATAGAAAGACAATAAGAACCAGATGTCAGCGGACTATGTGGAAAAAATGGTTCGCAAAAAGAAAAACAGAGTGACATGAGTGTTTTGTTATGAGAAAACGGAAATGGCTATTCTTCTTTGGACTTTCTCACACACTAACATAGACCTGCACATAAACACAGAGACCTTTGCCCCGGTTTCGGTTTCACTTTCAGATGTCAGTCAAGTGATCAGAGATAAACTCCCAGGAGCTGCCATGTTTGGGGTATAAGTAACACGATATCCTGGGTGTTTTGGGGCTCTGATATGGCAAAAAGCTCAGGTTTCCTGCTCAGTAAGGCTTTTTGCAACCTTTAACTTTTGCTGCATAGGTTACTTACATAGTGCATATAGTATTTACAGCACCCTCATGTAAAGGTCACTCAGAGAAATCAGGACAGACGTTATATTATACACTGTTTATATAAGCAGTATAGGTCAGAACATGATGTCAACACATCCAAAGACAAGACGTACATACACAAGATATGCATGACTGTCATTTGATGTATGTTTACACAGCATGGGAGGTGAAGTCATACAGATTGTGTACAGATGTGTGTTTTTCCATGAACTCAAGCCTCACCTTAAGCTTCATGTTTTTTTCTTCTTCTTCTTATTCAGGCGAACTGCAGCACCAACAGCACCACCAGTGGCAGCACTCCCTCTACACGTTCCCGCAAACCCGGTGCCATTATTGAGAGCTTCGTCAACCACGCTCCCGGAGTCTTCTCAGGGACCTTTTCAGGTGAGAGGCAAATGTGTTTTTAAATAATTTACCATTGTCCCCGCTTTGTTTTTAAAACTTAAAGCTATCTCTTCTAAAACCATTTCCTTCTTTCCTCTCAGGCACTTTGCACCCGAACTGCCAGGACAGCAATGGGCGCCCCAGACGAGATATTAGTACCATCCTGCAGATCCTTAATGACCTCCTGAGCGCCACACGCCACTACCAGGGCATGCCCCCCTCCCTCACCCAGCTCCGCTACCAGACCCAGTGTGGTTCACCCACCTCCCCATCCCCATCACCTCCTCCTTCGCCCCCGGTCGTTGGCATGACAGGCCTCTCTGCAAAAGCTACCTCTGTGCCCGCCGGCAGCCCTAGCAGCCCTGCGCCGACCCTTCATCCGCTGGTGCAGTGCCAGAGCCAGATCCACATGTGCAAACCCCCTGGTGAGTGGCTGTATATCGCAACATTTCTGCTCGTTCAAGCACGTCATGACCCCAAACAGAAACACGCTCAGTCACACAAAGTTATCGGAGGTTTGTTTAAGCAGATGATGCAGCTTGGGAAGTGTGTGTAGACCTCTTTTTGGTGAGAACGCAAAACCACAGCGATCTAGAGGCTTCTTTTTCCAGAGTTTTGCTTTGACTTTGAAAAATTTACCAAATCATTATTTCATCATTACTTTGCTATTTCCACTTTTTCATTTTGTGCTTCATGGTTTGCCTCCTGTTATTTAGCATCATCGTTGAGCAGTAACACCAGATTTTAGAAGCTGAATATCATACATCAGGTTTTGAAGCTGAAGAGAAAGGGATGAGACGAAAGGGGTAGAAGAGGGGGTGGGGGGTGGTCTCCTTTAGTAATGCTATACCAGCTTCCTCAGACCTGTTCAGTCAGGCTTCACTTGTCAGGCGGCGGAGTTGGCTTTGTTTTTGTGCGGCAAGGAGATACGTTTACCCCTTGAAGCCTGGGCTGGGCTATGTTTAGATTAGATTAGGTTTTGGGTGGTTTAACCTAGCCTCGTAAATACAGGCTGCAGCTGGGGCGTGTATGGGCTGGGGCCGGACAAACCTCGACATACCTGTGCCTGAAGGGCTGGGCCTGGGCAGGTGCTGGAGTCAAGATGATACCGTTTAAAAAAAAAATCTCCTTTCCTTGCAGAGACACAGGAAGTAGAGTGTCAGACAGATGTCCAGAACAGATAACATTCAGTCGATGTTGTAAGGTTAGACTGGCTGTGCGGAGAGAAACAGCATTGTCTCTTGCTGCCTCCTTATCTCCTGTGTAGGAAATGGAGCTGGTCTTTGGTTTGATGAGGGTAGATTTTGTTGAATAGTGTGTGAGGGAGGGACCTGACATACAGTTCCTTATGTTTAATGTTTTCTTTTGTTTAAAAAAAGCAAAAGAGCCTCTATCTATTGTCACACTCGGGCTCTGTCTCCTGTTTAATGACCTTCTGTTGCAGCTGAATGGAGTGTTTTAGTCGAGGCGGTGAATACAAGTTGACTGGGGAATGTCCACTATTCCTGTGCATCACCCTGGGAGCCCTTACAAGTGTTCATCGAACAGTTGGAATAACACAGGCTTATTTTCTTAACTCAGGGAAGACCTTTCCTTCAGTGCCCCCTTCTGCCCCTCCCCTCCTCTCCCACTATTGTCATCTGTCTACGTCTGCACTCAGCGGCCCACGCCAGTGTTTCCCCACTTACAGTCCAAAATCAGCCTCGTCTGTAAAATTCATCTTCCGCCTTGTCCTCTTTTTTTCTGTTTCCATGTCGGTTAGGCGCATCAATACATTGTCTGTGTTCGTTTGGCCTTTTGATAGATTTATTCCAAAATGTAGCTCTGAGAAGGAGGAGGAGGAGGACACAGAAACGGGGGATTGTTAAAACCACAATACTAAGCCTCATTCATCATATGGGTGTTCATATCCTGTCCATCAGTAGACCAGCTGCCCACTGATTAACAGGCAAAGTTAGAAGAGAAGAAAAGCCCATTTAAAGCCTATTTCCAACTTTACTACTGCGTCCAACTTCCTGCTTCCAGAAAGCGATGTGGCTGAATAACTTGTCCACCCAAGCGTGCACAGTTAAGCTCACTGAAACAATGAGTGTGCTGGTGCGATTGTGCGTGCTGACCGACGTCCCGTTCCGCATGGTGTCCTGAGGAAGCCGATGAGTAAGCGCTCTCTGGCGGTCTTATCAGCGGACACCTGATGGAAGACTTACTGGACTTAACACCACAGCTTAACACTGCTCTAGAGAAACCTGCCTTCATTCAGCTACAGGAATAAACTGCACTTCCCATCTGTCAGATTGTCTGTGTGTGTGTGTGTGTCTGTCTGTGTGTGTGTGTGTGCAGTCAAACTCTAGGTCGAAACAGCCTCTTGAAAATGTCACATAGCTTGGCCGTCTCCCGAGAGCCTTTACCCTTTCCACTGCAAGTTCATGTGCGAGGGGAAGAAGACAAGCGTAAATAAAAAGCTTGAAGATACAAACACGCACTCTCACACACACACTCACACACACACATACACACTCCGGACCACAGACGCCTGGTTAAAGGCTTTGGCAGCTAGCTTGGTTTCCAGGCTTTGCAGGGTAGTATTGCTGAGTGTGGGGATTTGTCAGACCGGGACTTGTGTTGGATTTGAACATGAGGGCTTTAGGATGCCCTGGCAGGCTGATTGTTAGCTAAATTCCTTTACTGAGTCGGACGGACCTCCCCGGCACCCCCTCCTCCTCCAGCCCTTCAGCCCCCTGCCCAGCCAAAGCTATTGTGCAGGGGCCAGGGACAGGGGCTGCATACAGGGCACCAGGCTGGGCCATTGTGGGGCAGACGAGGGGAGGGCTGTGGGATTATAGGGCTGCCTTTTAGTCCAACTCCCACTGCAGCTGCCTTAGTTCAACACAGGCCCACAGACAGGGGCAAAGTTAGCTCTGAAAGCTTCCCCGGCGCCCCCTGTCTCTCTGTGTGCCTTCCGTATCCCTTCGCCCCCCACCACCCCATCCCCTTTCGATTTGTCAGGTCATGTTAGCTTCGTTCTGGCTGGGACTGGGCAAGCGAAAAAAAAAGGGGTAGCGAGGGAGATGCCCATTGTTTGCTGTGTTTAAGCTCGGTTCGAGGCCCCACGCATTATCATCACGTAGGCTTCACTCTTCTCTCGAAGCACTCTGACGGCTGATGTGAAAACACGTGCGGCGATATAACCTAACTAACACCGGAGTGATGCAACAAAAGCTCAGAGCTATCTAGAGAAGCCAGCCAAGCACATCAGGTGCCCTTTCATTGTCGACAAGGAGAGCGAGGGAGCTAGAGAGACAGAAAGGGAGAAAGAGAGAGAGAGAGAGAGAATGCAAATGAAGTCTAAAAGTCATTGAAGAGCTCATGTCCCTGCAGGGTTGTCAATGCCCTTTCAGAGGCCGTCAAAACGCTCATTTAAGCTGCGATCTGATTGGTTGCTTTAGTTTGTGTCTGATAAGTTGGTTGAACTTTTCGAAAACGTCCCTCCTTACGGTCCGTACTGGATCCTCCTGACATCAAATAAATTAAAACAAAACACGCGGCGAATTCAGCGATGACTGGGTTGAACTCAGACACCTTGATGATAAGTATGAAAAGTCTGAACAAGTTCACTTGAAGGGTGGGGCTTCACAGCAGTTCAATAAAAAGAAAATAATTTATCATCTTCCCCATAAAATGAGACATTTATATTTGAATTCCTCAAATAATTCAACTTGTAGAGTCATAGATGTGTGCCTGTAAAAAGCGCACATAATTCGGAGCAGTAGTGTCTCACAAATGTCAATAATACAAAGATAATTATCAGGATTTTTAATTGGCATATTCCAATAATCATCTAAATGAAGAAAAGAGTACCACTCCAGGAAGTCAAGGCTGACTTTGCTGCAATGTGATTTCTTTCCTCCTCTCCTTCTTTCTCCTTCTCTCTCCCCCACCCCCACCCCCACCCCTCCCTCTCCCTCTTTCCCCTGGTTCCCTTGATGCTGAGCAAAACACAATGTTCTCTCTGCAAGATCACAAGACTTATCAAGGCAAACAAACAAACAACAGCACTAACACAACTGCAAATGAAGGCCAATCTTTATACAATCAATAAAAGGAGAAGCTCCTTTAATCTCCCTGTGCGTCCTGCACACTGCAGCCCTCCTCCCTTTCTCTCTACCTCCTCCACCCACCCACTCTCTCCCCCACCCTGCCGTGTGCTCCCTATCTCAGTCCTTGGTGTGTTGCTGGGCTGGGCTCAAAGGCAAGGAAAACTGACTGACGCATCGATTATTCATAGATCACCCCTTTCTTTCTCCCTCTCTTTCTGTCTGTCTTTCTTCGGCTTTCTCCTCGGTGCTCGGTCCTGTGTCAAAACCTGCACAGAGGAGAGTTTGGGGAAAGAAAACTGTGCGGCTGCTCACGAGTGAGATTTACTGTGTTTGCAGCGACACAGGCGAAAAAAAGAGAGCAGAGGAAACGAAAATTGGTGCTTACTTCCTCTCTGCGCCCTTGACCTGTCTAATGTTTGATATCTGTCAGTGAACGTTACTAAGAAAGATTTCTTCTTCTCTTTCTTCTCTCTCTCTCTCTCTCTCTCTTTATTCATTCTCTATGTCTCTTACCCACCCCTCTCTGGGTCCTCCAAGGTTATTGTGCTCACGTCAAACCCTAGTCTCTGCATCCAGGCTTTGGGCCAGCCTGAGTGTGTGTGTGTGTGTGTGTATATGCGTCTTGCGTGTATAGTCTGTCCTCCTTAGCCAGCCCTAATAATAGCCCTACTGTCATAAACATAGTCTGGAGATCCTTGCGGCCAGCTGTGTCCGGCCTAGCCGCCCAGGGCTCCGGTAGTGACGCTGATGAATGGCCACACACACACACACACACACACTCAAACACACACACACACACACACACACACATAAAGTGTTGTGTAGCCCAAAGCACATTCTCAGACCTCTTGCCAAGCCAAAGGCCAAGACCCACAGCATCAGCTTACTGCCCTTTAAGCAGTGTGTGCTTATATGTGTGTTTGTTTTGCTCATTGTTCAGATGTCTTAGCGAATATCCATCAATGGAAATATAATCATTCCTAAGTGGACGAACCTGTAAAAATAATAAAGAAAGCGTTTCAACTAAAAGACGGAGAGTTGTAGTTGTAGTCGCCGACACAGATTTTCGAAGTAGGCATGCACTGGCTCTGCGCCGTTTCATTGTGTACAGCCATATTTCAACACAGCCGAGGGGCGGTTTCGCTGTTGGCTAGCCAGAGCAGGGGAATAAGGGGAAGAGGGAGGACTGGAGGGGGGAACAAAGCCTTGTGGCAGCGTGCATGAATGTCACTTGGAGCTGAGGCGGCGGAACAATGGCTCTTATGTAGGAGAGCCCTCCCTTTGGTTCACCCCTCATTCTCTGGAGATGACACGCTGCCCCCACACAGGAGCACACACATGGCATCTGGATGCGCACACTTGTGTTCGTATCAGGACTGAACATGTTGACAGGAAGTAGAAGAAACCTCGTCAGTGAATGGTTGTCACGTGTGAGAGTGTTTCTTTCTCTTAAGTTTATTATGTGTTTCCTGTCTATTGGTGCTTGACGACACTCTGGATCTTTAGCATGCGCTGCTAGACTGTGGTGAATATTTATAGCAAGAGAAAGGGCTCTGCGCGGCTCGATCCGATAAGCAAATGAGGGAAAGAGGTAAATTAAGCCCACACAGAGTCCGGAATTCATTCCGATGGGGGGAAAAGCAGAGGAGGGCACGATCGATTCGGAAAACTGCCACCTACGGCTGATCCTTTACCCTCCACCCTCTTCCTTCGTCCTTTTTTTTATTTTTTTTATCCCCCTCGCCCTTGGGGGAGGAATTCCTTAACCCACACTGCCACCCCCTTTCTCCACTCCACTCCTCGACTCTCGCCTCCTGCTTCCCCTTCTTCACACTGCCCCACCTAGCTGTCTCTGGGGAGATGTGGGCCAAGAGCTGGAGAAGGAAGGAGGAGAAAAGGGGGAGGAGGGGGCTGTGTGTGTGTGATGGCTAAAAAAAAAGGGGGGGTGGAGGAAGAAGTGAAGGGTGGGGAGGGGAGTGTTGGGTCAATGAGCTGAGAGTGGGAAGCTACAGCCATAATAAAGAAAAAAAATAGCAGAAAAAAACCAATCTCTCCCTGTCTCTCTCTCCGCTTACAATTTCCATTCGCTTGCATTTTCTATTGAAAGCCAATAGCGTTGTCCTGGGCCCGAGATGGATGGCTGCACTAGAGCTAAGGTTTAATCAATAGGTCTTTTTAATTTGCCATCGATCCACGTTAAAAGCTACTGCGGCTGTTGCTGCTGCTGTGTGTGTTTGCGTGCATGCAACGATGAGCGTGTGCCCCTCAGTGTTTGTGTATGTGTGTGTCTTTTCTGTATACGTGCATGAGTCTACACATTGTGTGTGTGTGTGTGTGTGTGTCTTTTGTGTGAATACATGATGTACTTGAATGCAGATTTGAGAGTCTGACTGTGTGTGTGTGTGTGTGTTGTGGTGTGCAGCAGAGGCAGAGATGGCCGCCATGCTTCGGTTTATTGACATTCTAGCCCATTATTTAATTATTTAATTCCCAGACAGATACTAATGGAGCTGGCTAATAGATTGCGGTTGCTTTTCCTTCCTTCCAAGCTCCTGAATATACGTATAAATTGAATTAGGCTCGACTCGGCCACTGTAGGAGAGCATTCACAGTGCGGTGCGGGGCCTCTCCCTCGAGACGGTATTCTCCTATAGGCACATCAACAGCTAGAAATGCACTTAGTGGCACATTCAGACCCTGAAGCATGCCATCTGCAGTTATGCGCTCAGAAATCACAGACGGCTATTGGAATGTCTGGTTTCAGGTTGGTGTTTGGATGTTTTTGGCCTTGGGATTAGCTCTCAAGGAGAGTCAGAACTGTGAAGGTCTTTTTATTTTGTGATAAGGGGATTGATCGGCTCTGGGAAGGCTGATGATGCTCAGTCAGGGAAGGTTTGCAGTAGGTTCTACTTTGTATCTAGGACATTTGTTTGAGCCAGGGGAATGATCCTAGCATGTCTTAGCTTTGGACATGTGAACACACGCATCCTGACGCTCATATACTATATTAACATTCCCATCACTCCCACCTTCTTGTTTTAAGGATGCACTGATTCGCTTTTCTCACCTCCGATACCGATACAGATATCTACAGTTTAGTATCGGCCGATACCGATCCAATTCCGATACAGAAAAGCTGCGCCAAATAACCTTTTTTACCACCACCCTTCGGAACATTTACTCTGCAGGTATTGCAAATGGCCGTCGGGCTTGTAGGCGGAGGTATTTTGATAAAGTTCAAGATAGCAGACCCCTTTGCTCGCTCCATTTTGAAAACAATGTGTCAGCATGTTTACTTGTGGATGCCAATCGCGGCGCATAGCATAGAGTTAGACTGAATAGATCAGCCCCTATGCATCGGGCCCATTGTCACAATACCCGATCTAGAATTTTCTTCAGTATCGGGACAGATACCGATATCAAATATCGGATCGTTGCATCCCTATCTTGTATATGCTGGTATGACTGTTTTCAGTGTAGATAAATGAGTCCAACTTGACTGACTGTTTCTCCCCTCTCTTTACCTTTCTCCAGGTGATCGTCTGCGGCAGACCGAGAACCGCGCCACTCGCTGCAAAGTGGAGCGCCTGCAGCTGTTGATGCAGCAGAAGCGTCTGCGCAGGAAGGCCAGGCGGGACCAGCGCGCCCCGTATCAGTGGCTGCCCAACAGGAAGGCTGGACGCAGTAACAGCAACAGCAGCATGTCGAGCGAGGGCTCCCTGGACCTGGACTTTGATGACTCGGTGTGGAAGCCTGACGTCAAAGCTGACTTGAAGTCTGAGTTCGTCATGGCCTGAACAGACGGATTCAAAGATGAGCAAAGCATTCATTGGGATTTACTCATTATTCTTTGAGGGAGGAAGTGACACAAAGATGAGCAAAGATGTTTAACAGAAAGAGGAAATCAAAAGTGACAAAATAAAAGGCTCCCTGCTGACTTTAACCCCGGTTTGTCCTTCACAGTTGACCATGTGGGAAACAGCAACAATAGCAACAGAACTTTCTTTTGATCCTTGGATCAGAAAAAAAAAAAAAAAACTGGACTTAACAGTGTACAAGACTTTTTACAGTATGATCAGAGAGACCATACTGGAACTTGAGCATAGCAGAATTCAATGGGTGGTAGTGGTGGTGGTATTTTGAGATTTTTGTTTTCTAAGATTGTTTTTTTTTTTTAAAACGCACTCTGGACAGCAATGAAGAGATCCACACTGGACTTACTCACAGGACAGGAGCACCAGAGGCCTCAGTGTTTCCTAATACCAAGAAAGGCAGAACTGCCGAACTTTGGATTACTCCAACGGGCATTCTTATTGATCTCAAAACTCACAAACCAGAGTTTACTTTTTACCTGTTACTGGGTGGTTAAATTTTTTTTTTTTTGTTCCATTTTGAAACATATTATATTTTATAAACAAAAAATATGTAGCATTGTTCACAAAGCATTCAGGTTTTCATATAACAGTTCAAAGTAGTCGTTGATTTGCACATTTTCTTGATTTATAACAGCTGGTCAGAGTGTGCAGGAAGGAGGAGGAGGTGGGGCCTGAGAGAGAGAAAAATGAATATGGAAGTATTGATATCAACCTCAGTGACATAGGGTATCGATAGGAATGATAAATGATTAAACAAAATAAATTAATATTAACAGAAAGTGCTTTAGAGGATTTAAAAATCTTTAAAATGTATATGGAAGAAAATCTATTTTTTATTTCTCTTCCTATCTGCTGTTTTCAAAAAACAGCAGCCCTGTGTGGCTTCAGTCAAGTCTTTGACTCCTAACAAATATGTAACATCCATTCAATCATTCATTAGCTCCTTTATGGATAGTAGATGTGTCTAGCCACGACAAATAATACAGAAAAAACAAATTTCATCCAGCCCGCCTCATGTCTAACAGACCTGAATGGACTTGTCGAGGGTTTGTATTAGTTTATGTACATAAATGTGACAATTGGCAAAGGTTTATGAGGGTGTGCGTGTGTGTGTGCGTGTTTGACTTAAGTGTAAATTAATTTTACAGTTTCCCATGATTCTCTCTGAGTTATCTTCTCCCAAAAAAACCTATTAGTTTTCCAAAAAAATAATGATCAGCTGAACTACTTACTTTATCCTGTGACAGTTTCAGGCCAATGTGACGTGTATTCTCACCAAGCCCTACGATAGCGACTCTATTTTTTTATTGGCAAAGAGGGAGAAGACGTGCTATTAGTTTCCAGCATCATTATCTAGTGCCTCCATCAGTGCATCCATTGACATATCAGGTTCGGCCTTTCACAGCTCCGCTGCTACATACGGGGACTTGAAATTTAAAAAAAAAAGAAATAAGCAAGAGGGGAAAAGTGACTTTTCTTTGCATGCAGAAGTGTGAAAATACACTGATCTTTTTTCTATTGATGGAAGAAAAAAAAGAAACTGGTTCTGTGGGAATGAAGGTTAACAACATGCATGAATTTGTGAAGAAAATAAAAACAATGCTGCTTTTGTTGGTTAGGTTTTATGTAATTTTTGTTTCAACAGTAGAACAACAGCGTCCTGCTAAAGTATTACAAAACCAAAACAGATGAAGTTAAGTGTGGACTCGCGTCTTGCTCAGCACTGAACATTCCTGTTGTGTGACTATGAAGATGATGATGAGCAAAGAGCAACTGACTCTTTCTCTCTTTCTACTCCCCGAGCGGTTTTACCCCCATGACTCTCAAGGACCCAGACAGCCTACGAACTGTTCAGCCGCCTCCCCCCCTCCTCCCAGCCTAAAATGCCAACAGGCTTGTGTGGATGTACTCTCGCAGGGAACTTACAGACCAGCGGATTTACTGAACTGTCCGTCAAAACCCACCAGAGAGAAGCATCCGGTCTGTCTCCTTATCTGTCTGTCTGTCTGATCGATCGACCACCCTACCACTATTGCACTCCCAGAGATTGCAGTGAGAGATTACCTTTTTGGTGAACCTCATCTTTTTTTTAAGTGGCCTTACCTTTCACTAAAAAAATGAGACACTTGGGGACAATGGGGGCGGGAATGTTTTTTGTTCTTTTTTGAAACTTTCTGTGTGCATCGTTGTCAGATTTGTCATCAAGGCGCCATTTTTTGTCACTGAGGACACTGGGCATCCGTTGTTTAGTGCTTTTTAGCTGGTGGAGTCTCTATTATGTCAAGGCTTCTGTGCCTTAAAAATGTTGCCCTTGCTGTGTCAGTGTCAGATTTTCAGTTTTCTTTTCCATTGATTGATCCACAGGACTGTAGTTTTCACATATGAGAGTTGTAGATTTTAAGGACGGAGCTTATTTGAGTGAACCACATTGGATTGAAAGTCCTCAAATAGTGTCTTTGTTCTGTTTCTTCATTGTGTTGCCATGCTTGTTGGTCTCTGTTGTTAACTCGGTTCTCCCACCAACAAGCTGCAAAATGCTCAAAATCTGAGCCAGTTAAGTTAAATGATCAAGTTTACACCGCAGTACTTAGATAGCAAGAAGCAGGAGCCCTGATCGAGAATAAGAAAGGTCCTCTGAGGACTCACGCACTTCTTGTTTCCTTGGATTCAAACTAGGATTACTAAAGGACAATTATCCCCTGCCCCTTCCAAATTTTATTTAATTTCTTTTGTATATGTATGAACTATACTCTGTGTGTGCCTCACTTCTGTGTGAAACTCAAAAAGATGAAACAAAACAAAAAAGATGACAAAAGCATTACAGAGAGGATAAAAAACAGTACGTTGTTGGAATTCTGACCATTTGAGTTGCCTGTTCTTTCTTGTAGCCAACTATTGAAAATAACAGGATTCAAGAAATACAATTTACAATGTTCTAGCTCTAGACCGGTGTAGCACATGTGTGACTGTATTAATTTATGAAACCAAAATGGTAACTGTGAATTATGTATTTCTTTGTGCATTTTTTTTAAAGCTGGGGAGAAGGTTTGCTGGGACACGGGCAGCAGCTGGTTGCTCGTGTCCGGAAAAAAAAAAAACAACACAAAAAAAACAACTTTTTTTTTGGTGGAATATAATGGAAACAAAATAAGTTTCTGAAAAAGAAAAAAAAGGAGAAAAAAAATGAAAAAAAGAGAAAAAAATATATGAATATATTTTTTTTCTTAAGCAATACATTTCAGTGTGACTTGTGATAGACCATTTTCTTTTTTTTAGGTAATAAATAAATAAAAAACAAAATGAGTACGTCACGTTGTCTCTGCGAGTATTCATTACCAACGCATTCAATAACATTGAGTAAAAGTTGCTTTTCAGGTTAATATTTCATGTGAGAATCTATTTCATGAGGTAATATGATAAGAGTGGCACATGAAAACCAACAGAAGCATTGATCAAATATTGCCGTGCACTATATCAGAAGCTAATGTAATTGATGTTTGGACTGAACCATCTAGAGTGGTAGAGGGGTGGACAAATGGAGGCTGTAAAAGGCTATAAAAGGCCAGGAGACCACATGCTTTAAAGAGGCCCTCAGGAGCTTTTGTATGAATCACATTTTGTTGTTTCATAAATGTAGGAAAGGCTGATCGTGATAAGTTTCCACAGAACTCTGCAGACCAGGTGAATTTGTCAACTAACTGCTGCAGTTCAAACCTAAAAATGATACTGAAAAGATCCCCGGGACCAGGGTTTTGAGAGTACATGTGGGAGTGGGAGGAGGTTTAAAGGGGGGTAGGCGGTTCAGTGAGAGAGCCAACAGAAATGTTCTCCACATCTGTGAGTGCAGGCCGGCTCAAGATGAGACAGAATATGGAAGCAGAGTGACAGACTGGAGAAGCGGTGCCTCGTGTGAAGCCCGCTTCCTGACACATGTACTCACAGGGAAAGGTGTTTTGAAGCAGCACTTGTAGCGCCGCACTCCTGTAACTAGCGCAGCTGAGAACACATCTCGACTCTGAGCATCAAGAAATAGCGGAGAGAGCATTGAACATGAAAAGGCAAACCTACTGTACGCCAGAGCAGGGCTCAGGCAGGGGGCCAATAACACGATGTCTATACTGTGAGAGGCTGCAACATTGCATGATGAGAGACTTCTCCTGCACTTCAGAGTCTATACTCATAGACTGACACATTACATTGCCTTTGACACATCAAACTTATCCAGCTCCAACATCCTCACAGACATGTAATTCAACCATAACTTTAATGCAAAGACATTTAGAAACATTTCTTCATTAGCTTTAGTGTCCTAGATTGAAAATTTGATGCACAAATCAATGGAAATTCTCATGTTGTTTACAGCATTATTCTGACAATGACCCCAAGGACATCAGCAGACATGTTGCCTTTCATCACGCATCAGCTTTCTTCCTCGTATTTCTGCACAAAGATGCCGGTATAGTGAAAGCCTCCTACACAGTGGTCTGTTCATGAGTAAAACCACAGGCTAGTCTAAAGTTTCTGGTAAATCTACACACATGTACGCAAATAAAACAACTGAAATGTTAGAGGGCGAAGTGTAAAATATCAGGAGATGAGCAGAGAGTGGGTTTGGGTATGAAGCAGTCCTTTAAAATGCTCTCTCAAATGAAAATAGCTGTATGCACATTTGAGTAACAGTCCTAGTTTTTGCCAAATTTGTCACAAAAGCCCCTTGGTAAAATTTCAGTTTAAAGTTGGAGTAGCCTTGCAACTTAGGAAAATTTCAGGAGTGTATATGTAAAAGCAGCTAAAGATAAATTGCTGATGATCTGGGAATTTTCCCTGAAGATTTATGCAACGCTTGAACCCAGATTAAGAAATACAGTAATCCGTTTCCTTGCGAGTTTGTTTCAGTTTTGGTGAAACTGTTCCCGATTTTTATTCTGTTTTTAAAAATAATTTCTCGACTTCTGTTGTGTCTGCTGGTTTCTCAGAACCTAATGTGTTTGATTGCATCGTAAACTCAAGAGGAATAAGAATGAAACTTCAGGTTATCAAAGCTCCACTCTTTCATTTTGAATGCCTTTTGCTCTTTTGATTTAAGTAAATAAAACAAAACAGGTCTCAAAGAGAGAGAAACTAACTTTGCATTGCCAGTATGTTTTGCTGGATAGGGAAGTTTCTTCTCCTTTCGACAGTTAGACGAGGCTGCAAAAACACGAACCACAAGCGAGCACGTTGACATGTTTTTATCATAAATGTTGCAGGTGTTCCAAACAGGCTTCCCCTATGGCTACTGACCGAGTTTACTGTGTTAACTTTGGCTTTTTACAGCTCTACACTTCACAGTTTATACCATGACCAGGATGTGCAGCAGCACAAAATCTCATGGCTACCAGTCATTCTGCAACCATGATGAACCTCTTTCTGAGAAGTCACTGCCTATTTCTGACTGCTTATGATTGTCAGTCCCAGCCTCCACATTTATCTGCTGCTTTCTGCAAGCTTGCTGTCTGTGGATGTAACTGCCTTTGAAACAGAAAAAAAAAAAAAAGAACAGAGCGAGAGAAAGACAGAGTTAGACAGAGCAGAGGGAAAGAGAGGCTCAGCTGCCACCGCAAACTGAAACCCTGTGGCTCTGGGATCGAGAGGAGTTCCGCAGAGTTGGGGTTTCACACATTGTTGTGTGATCTAAGATAAGACACGCTCAGCTGTATCCTATCTTCACTCAGAAAAACACACACACACACACACACACACACACACACACACACACACACACACACACACACACACACACACAGAGAAGTATAACGGAAAATATTCCAGGATGTCACACTGCACGAAAATGAGTATGGTATACCCTCTTGTCATACTGAAAGTTCATTGCTTAGCTGTAGTGTATAGCAGTAGACAGTGTGCAGATGTATTTGCATAGACATCTACATCTGCAAACCACTGAAAGTAAATCAAGGTATTTTTTTGGTGGAGAAGAAAAATAAGAAGGTTTTATTGTAAAAAACATGTTTTCCTGTCCATCACAGTCAAAGTCACTGTCAACCAGATTGCAGGGAAACATTACCTCCGTATAAAAACCCTTTCTAATGTAGGAATCTACCAGCTGAAAATGAATATTAAACTGTCAAAGAAATGATTTACCATCTTGGGAAATACTCATCTTTGATGTCTTGACAAGAATTACTGAAAAACAATCGTTTCAGTTGAGTCAACATCAGAAATTTAACCATGCTAACTATAAAGCTACAGAATGTAGCCTGTTAGCCTAGCCTAGCACAAAGACAAGACACTGGGATGAAATGCTCATCAAAGTGTACCTTGTAGTTCTTAAAGTCCAGGGATTAACACCTGCTGTGCCAAAGTGTTTGATAAAAGCAAAAATGATCAATCTTATCGTCTAGCTCCAAGCAACAAAGCATATTTTCTCACCGAGTTTGACTGTTCTTCTAACAAAAGTGGATCTTCTCTCCTCTCAAAATTGAATACTCATCTTTGATGTCTTGACAAGAATTACCGAAAAACAATCGTTTCAGTTCAGTCAACATCAGAACTTTAACCATGCTAACTTTAAAGCTACAGAATGTAGCCTGTTAGCCTAGCCTAGCACAAAGAGAAGACACAGGGATGAAATGCTAGTCAAAGTCTACCTTGTAGTTCTTAAAGTCCAGGGATTAACACCTGCTGTGCCAAAGTGTTTGATAAAAGCAAAAATGATCAATCTTATCGTCTAGCTCCAAGCAACAAAGCATATTTTCTCACTGAGTTTGACTGTTCTTCTAAAAAAAGTGCATCTTCTCTCCTCTCAAAATTGAAAATCCAGACACGTAATCACGTTGTTTGTGCTCTGCTGCTTTGGCTTGATGTACGATAGCCAGGATTACGGCTGAGCAAATCGTTAAATAACATGAAACAGGTATAGGCTGATCTTTCCCAGCATCAAAATGAGGTCTTGTCATTTATAAAACCCTTTGCTTCAACCGTTTCTACATCTTGTTTTGTATGCATTTTTAGTCTCTTGTTGCAGTATATGCGTTTACCATTTTACATAACAACAGCAAACCTTTGCTTTTTGCTCCACTGGAAGCCCCCGTGTGCACAAGCGGGTAATGAAGCGAGTGCGCTGAAGATGAATTTTCTCCAACACAGAGTTTAAACATCAGAGCCCGGCCTTCCAGCCTCCTCTTCTCCCAGCAACACCCAGGGCCGTACGTTCAGTCAGCAGGGATCTTGTTGTCTTTTGTCTATTTTTGTTTGTTCCCTGCACAGTTGAAAGAAAAGAATGGCTGTCTGTTTGAAACATTACCTGATGGATATTTATGCAGCTGTGAGGCTGTGAAGAGAACCTTTGATATCTTTTTCAGACTCCTAAGACACACACACACACACACACACACACACACAGTTCCTCTGTGAACCCCTGACGAAGCCATCATTGGTGCGTTACAGGACACACGTACTCATTACCCTCAGAGGTGTTCAGCTGTCCCGCCCCATCAGTAAAGAGCTGACCTCAGGGTTTGACCACGTGACCTCGGGGGAAATGGCACAGGGGTCATGGTTAAAATAAACCCTGGAAACTGGGTAAACAGGATGTGTACACCCACCCAGACATATGGCACTCACTAATCAAACGCCGGCGAGCAGGGAGAGAAGGAAGAGGAAACCAATGGTGGAGGCGCACAGCTTAAGTACAAATGTACTTAAATGTAATATAAATGGATCAAGCTGCTTAGCAACAAAACCAGCGCGGAGTGTTCATCAAATGTTATTTATTTCATGACAAATACTTCTGAGAGGGAAATTAACGCCACGGTCTTATAGACGGAAATTGGAGTTCCCTGTGAACAGTCACAAACGACTATAATAAATAAACAATATTAAGGACGAATAAGAGAGGTCCTCACAGTCTAATTAAAAATCCACAGTTTTGCTTACAAGTCTCAGAATTTATCCTAAGGAATATATCTGCTAGCTGTTATGAGTGGAAACTAAACTAATCCAAGATTCAAGCAAGTTTTGGAGTTTGTTTGTATCATAATCTGAAACAAATTAAGAGTTTAAAAAGAAATTACCTGGAATTGTGTAATTGTGATATGTTGAGTTTAACAGGTGTAGATTGTTAAGCTTTGCACTAACCAATCAGATACAGGCAGGGTATCCTTACAGTGGTATCATCAGTCAGAATAACCTTTATTTCTTCTTTTTTCTTTTTTTATGAGGAAATATAAGAATTAAAAATTGACTGAATAACCTCAACTCAACTAAACTTAATTTAAAGAGCACTTAAAATACAACCAAAGCTGACACAATGTACTGTACACAATAACATAAAAACATAATAAAAAACAACAATAAATAGTTGCTTTAAAATATAATAAAAAACAATAAAAAGGCAATAAAACAAATGCCGTCTCATGTTGGGTCAAAGCCCAGGAGTAAAAGTGGGTTTCTAGATGGGTTTTAAAAATGGACACTGGGGGAGCTTGTCTAACGTGGAGAGGTAAGTCGTTTCACAATGTAGGAGCAGCAACAGAAAAAGCTCTGTCTCCTCTGAGCCTCCGTAGACCTTGGTACCTGCAGGAGCAGCTGGTCAGTCGACTTGAGGCAGGAGCGTAGGGGTGAAGCAGCTTAGAGAGGTATGATGGGGCCAGAACATTTAAGGTTTTAAAAACACATAAAAGAATCTTAAAATGTACTCTAAAATGCACAGGCAGCCAGTGGAGGGAGGCCAGAATGGGAGTGATGAGCGGCTGCATTCTGGACCAACTTGAGACATGCAAGGGAAGACTGACTGACTCCATGATAAAGTGCGTTACAGTAATCCAGCCAAGAAGACGTGATGAAGGCACAGATTACTGTCTCAATGTGCTCTCGTGCAAGAAGTGGCTTCACCTTTGCCAGCTGCCTAAGGTGGAAAAAGCTGGACTTCACAACTGCGCTGATCTGTCGGTCTAGTTTAAAATTACTGTCAAAGTCAGTTTCAGAAAAAGCTCAGCTGGGTCCTTGAGCTTGTGTGGTAGGATTGACAGTTCAAGAAAATCCATCAATGTACATGAGCCATTAGCAGACATGTAGCCTTATGTTCTATTTCCTCTGTTATGCTGTGATAGTGTACTGGCTCACCTGACACACTGGTGTGCAGACGGACACACGGCAAGTAGAGCTGATTTTGGTTCTTCAAAAAAATAATAATTATCAATTCTAATTATTTACTTTGGTTTGTAAATAGTTATATAAAGACTTTAAAAAATGCCAAAGAAGTCACCTATTTTTATGCTTTTTTAAATATTTTGTTATCATTGTGTATCACTCTTGTATACCGCCTCATATAGTGCATGACAGCACGCATTCCTTCTCACCTGCTGTTACATACAGATACAGCACTTGTGAGGGTTTTTCTCTGGAAACTGTCATATGTCAAACTCTCTTTTTGTCAGTGTCCTCCGCCTCCCTTCGTCTCTTTCTTCTGAGAAGTAGATGAGGAACCGTTCTGCAGTTGCTCCAGTGACCTTTAGCAGCTGTGGGGGTGAAACTGGCTGAGCTTCCCTCACCTCATCCTAGTCTTTTTCTCTCTCTCTCTCTCTTTCTGCATCTCTCTCCCTGTATGCATACTCCTCCCTGAATTGCAGAGCCTCAGTATTACAAATTCACAATCTTTGCCAGTTGGCATGAGGTGTCTTTTACAACCTCAGAGCTTTGCATGGAAAATATTGTAGCTTGAATAATGCTGAAATAGTCAAGCAGCAATAACTGACCTATGTCCTATTAGGCAAAAACACATGTTAGTCTTGGTTAATCCTCTCTGTAGTAACATGAAACAACAGCGTGAACAGCATATCTGACAACACAAACTCAACCCTGTCCAAAATGTGATTAAAGAACCTGGCATAGCAGCAAACAGCACCCCAGGGTGTTAATCCTGAACCAACTAGGACAGTCAAATGTTAACACAGCACAAACTTGTTCTCATGTAGCACAGTTTGGAGTCTCCAGAGCTTTTCCCAACACTAGACACTCAGGCTTGTCGGCTAATTAGGCCTGACCTATTATAGTTGAGGTGCGGTGTCCCTTGACTTGATTTCTTATAATGCAAAGGAGCAGGCCAGCAGTTTGGGTACCCTGCTAGTAGCTGGAGCAGGCAGGGCAACAGGGCGACACAGTGAAAGACGAAATACGCAGCAGATTAATGTACATTTTCACATCTTCCTGCTGTCTCTGTTCACCTCCTTCCTGCTCATCCTTCTCGCCCCACTTATCTAGCTACTCTCGCATCCGTCCACCCCTTTGGCCCCCATAAGGGAATGTGGGGTTTTGAGTTATGGAAAAGCTTTACGGTGTGCTGAAACAGCTGAGGTCATGGATACAGAAAGCGCATGCAGCCTCGTGCGCAGAATGTAAATGAGCTGGCCTTTCTCCAGCCGCGGGAAGCTGAGCCTGAGCTGCGTGTGATGTAGCCTGCTCTCCTCCTCTGAGGAGACGCCAGGCAGGGATAGGGATCCTAGCTAATCAGCCTGAAGTATGTGGAACACTTGTTAGTTTTAAGCAAAGTCCATCTCCCATTGAACGCAAAATAAGAACCCTTTTGCAACCATCTTTGTCTCTTGCTCAGTGTAGTCAGGGTTTTTACAGCCTCTCCCGCTCTTTCTTTGTCACCTTGCGAGAAAATGAAGGGAGGAAACACTGGTTGCATGCGTGGGTTTGACACAGTTTCCACTAAGAAAAGGTGAATTTCAGCAGAGAGACTAATTTGACTGCACGAGAGGCAGGGAAAATGGCAAGATAAGGAGATAATGGTTGTTTGCTGGATGCTATCTTGTTAGCAACAGAATAATAAGTTGCCCTCATGCTGTGTAGCGTAGCATATAAAAGCCCCAGAATAAACATTAAGCTTAATGCTTTTTCCTTTGCCCGACAGTCCCATGTCAAGTAGTATGCACATTTACATTCCATTTAACTGTAAGTGGGGATAATTGTGTACAAATGGGTATAGTTTAAAATGCCTGATAAGGAGCATGGCACAGGGCTAATTGTGTGTGCGTGCAGGGGCTTGTTGGAGCATCTTTGTAACAACAGTGTGTGTATGTGTGTGTGTCTGTGGATGTCATTAATGGTGTTTATTTGACTTTGGGGGAAGCCCTGTGCCCATTGTTCATAAAACCCCATATATGGTAATGTAAACACAGCGCTTCGTAACTCCTCCAGAGGGTGCACACAAAAATGAATGAACACAGGAAGACCCGCTCTGGCAGGAAGTGGCAGCTGCTACCATGGTAACAAACTGAAACCTGATGCAGCGAGGAAGAGGGACTTGCCTTTCTCACTGTCTTGACGTCATTTCTAGTACGCGCTCAGCAGCAGCTGCAGAGCACACAACGCAAACAGAGATACAGATAACTTTCAGATGCGTACTGAAAAAATACATGAGAAACCTGAGAAGTGTTTGTTTTTTTTAATCTCCCTTCAAGAAAACCATAGTAGTGGAAACTCCCCATATGTTCACAACTATCAAGGACAATGATTTAAAAGCAGCACTGACAGCATTAACAGTAATAATAGCATATTATCAAAAGTGTGACTGATGAATATGCAAATGCTCTTTGTGTTTACGCCAAATTGGCAATATGGTTGCAACACATTTCTAAACTCTAGCGCTGTCGCTTTTACAGCTTAGTGGTGTGAAATGAGTGCGGCTTAATTGTTTACACAACCTCTGCTTTAGAAAATCTGCGCTTCTCAGTTTTGGCAAAGAATTCAAACCAAAATGAAGCCAGCAGGACTTTAAACCAAAAATGATGAATGTGGGAGCGATCAGATGATTTAGTAACATTCTGTTTGTGTGGCTTCACAGGACAAAATACAGCAAAACAAGGCAATTTTCACCGTCAGCTAGGAGGGTGCAGAAGATGGTGCAAAATGGGAAATAGAGGATGAGGACTGCGAGGGTGTATGCATGCATGCATTAAGGAGGGGGCAAAAAAAGAAGTGCCAGAAGCACGCATGTCATGCTGTCAATTTTTTAGGTCATGGCTCAAATAGAGTATGTCATAGCCCCTGATGCCTGCAGGGGTGAAGCAGTGAACTTATTCGTTTAACTATCTCTATAGGGAAGCTGTTTTGAAATGATTTATTGCCAGAAGATGCTCATTTTTTCACTTTGATTAAATTTTTTTTGCATTTTTAAGTCATTTTACTGACCCATTTTGGTTTGACGCTACAGATACTGCACATTTCTACACATTATTTGTTAACAAAAACAGCAACCAACTCTCCAAACAGGTAAGTTGCTGTCAGACAAATAGCAAAGTAACCATGTACCACTTTATAGCACTGTATCTCATTGTCCCCTTGCCTTTTCTCCCCCTTTCCTCCCAATTAAAAACACAGCATCCACACACATTTATCCTTCTTTGTCCCTCACTCATTAGCCGCAGCTTTATCCTTTGTAATTAGCCGTAGCTTCTCAATGCTGCTGCTGTACGTGAGCATCAGGGTTTAAAAAGGTAAAAGGGGGTCAGATTTCTTTCGGCCCTCAAGCTAAATCTATAGACAACAAACCTTTTTAAAAAGGGGTTAGAGGAGGGGGTACAAGCGTGCTTAAGAGGGCTTAGGAGGAGGTGTGTATGCATGCAGATTGCGGGGGGTTTGGGGGTGAACCCTAAGCCCAACACCACCCACACTGAGCTTGTGTGTAGTTTCTATGACAGGGGGCTTGGCTGTACTTGCACATAAACACACACCTATGAACAAACAATAACCCCCCCACCCTACCCCACCTCTTTCTCACCCCTCTTTTCTTACAATGGGAGCAGGGGGACAGGTGCTGCAGCCTCATGGGTTTTTTAGCCCCTCAGACATTGTCTTCTATTCATTAGTCCCTTATGCACCACACAACGGCACACCCACCCACACAAACACACACACCCACACATTGTGATAAAAAAACTCAGGATTGTTTTTCCGTCTCTGTCAGCGGTTATGATTTATGATCATAAATCTCTCAGAAGAGCCATACGCTGAAACATCTGTGTCTGCGGGATCCTGGGATGTCAGCATCTGTGTGGCCCAGTTCTGCTTTTCTTGGAACAATTTGACTCAGTGTGAGAGATGGATGCTGGTCAGAGGCAGTGTTAATTTTGTAATGTCTTATAAATTTAGAGTTTGTTTAGTTTTTAGTCTGTTTCTTTTCACTTTTTGTCACATATAAGTGATTTTGGTCCGTTCTAGTCAATAAATCATCATTCGTTTATCTTTATCATTCGTCAAAACAGTTTTTGTCTTTGTACTTATTCAACAAATCGATAAGAAATTAATGTCAATGTTGTTCTGGTGTATGAACCTGCAAACTTTCCCATTTGAACACTCAAACTTCTTTAATACTTGGATCCCTGACCTTCACTGAAGAATTTCATTATCAATGTGATACTGATATGACGTCCCAACTGATCTACTCAGACATGTTTTTACTCCAAACCAAGAAACAAAACATTATTTGTGACCACTTTGGTTTTATCTACTTTCTTTGGCTTTTTCCTTATACGTAGTGGGGGATGGGGGGTCTATTGTCATCCCTTAATGTCTGTAAGTTCGAGAAACACCCCTGGACATGTGCTTGACACTCAGTTCACAGTGCTTTCAGCGGCATTCTCATGCTTGATTTAGAGTTGAATTTGCTGTTCGATGAATCTTGGATTGAGAAAAATCCTTATCTTGCTTTGAAAAACATAACAAAACAAAACAAAAAAACATATTAGTAATAGTTTCTTGTTATCAGTGAAGCATTTGAGCTTGTTATTCTCTCTTTTTTGTAATGGAAAAAGGGTGATTGACTAACAATTAGGTGTTAGTTTTTGTTTACCAAATTAGCAGCGGGTGGAAGACAATTGAATCAAATCAAATATTGAATTTACCCCCAGGGATGAAAAAAAAAAGTTACTCTAATCTTAGTTTAAAGCATTTGGATTTTATATCTTAAATTTGAGCAAGAAACACAACACTTACACATAATAGGTATTGTTTTTGTAACTGAGGATACAAGAGTTTGAACAACCATTATATTATATTAATATACAAATATGAACATTTTCCCACCCTTAAAGACCCGCTTGATGTCCTTGTGGTCGAAGCTGTAGTGAAATGTACCACTCACTGTGAATCTTGGCTTCAATAAAATGTTAGCAAAGCTTGTTTCAGCAGTGTGCTATGACTCAGTTGATGCATAAGCCCTTTGTAAGCCAGTAGAAGTCATTGGTTTTGTTTCAGTTTGTTAAAACTCCTCACTGGAGCTTTAAACAAGCACTTTGGTAGCTTAGGGCAAATTTCTTTATGGTCGCATGAATTCTCCGGTGTTGAATCATTGTAAAAGTTATTCAAGAAGTTAAGAGCAAATTCTTTTAATATGATCATAATCTTTTCCTATCATAGGGGATTTAATCAGCTTCAATAAGTTAAGGAAATGTGTTTCACATGGAGTGAGGAGTTTGTCAGGACACTGCCATTGTAATGTCTTCATTATTGATGTATTTTACATGTCAGGCCTGTCCTGTAACAAAGCAGTAGTGAGTGACACATCACCAGCCCTCCAGTAGATACCACTGAGTGTGATCCAATTGTCCATGGTGGGATCAGTGGATCATCCGGGACCCCCCTGCTATGCAGCCCTTCCTCCCCCCTCCCCCAAAACAGCAAGGGGCCGCTAGTGCAACAGGGGGGCCAATGATCAATAAGGATTTTGTGTGTTTGATTGTCTGTGTGTGTTTGTGTGTCTGCTGCGGTCGTTAGGTGTCTGTTTCCCAGTCTGTGTGTGTGTGTGTGTTTAAGTGTTGTGAGGAGGGGGCTGCAGGAAGGGTAGAGGTGTCTTTTAGTTCAGCATACGGTTGTGACTGATAGGGTGGCGGACCCCAGCGTGTGGGGGCCCAGGGGAGTAGCTCTGTATTGGCGGACTCTGAGGAGAAGCTTTCTGTTCCCCCATCGATCCCAACATGTCAATTAGACAGATTCAAATAAATGTGCCCTCAACCTCTGCAGGCCAGCCGTATGCAGATACTCCCATGTAAGTGACACCCACTCACTGGCTCCCATGTCACCGGAGCTAGGCTGATACTGAAGGGCTTTCTGGGCTAGAATTGACCGAGAGCTTTTCCGTCGCACAGATTGTTTTTCACTTTGACCCCGGCCTTTGCACATAAGGAGTCAGACACTTCATGTGAACCTGTAGACATCACAGAGGTAAAGTACCTTAAATGACTCTCGATTTCCTTTCAGTATCTCCAAAAACCAACCGCAGTTTACTGAAATGAAAGCAAAGTGCCCCAAGCTTGTTATTGTTCGTAGAAATAATAAAAAAAATATTTACCATAAAAAAGGAAGTTTGATGACCTTTAAAAATAAATGTACTGGAAGGTTTCTGCTGCAAAACTATTTAAAGGTTACCAGATGGAACATGTATTATCTATCCAATTTAACATAATATTATCATCACATTGTGATACAGAAAGTATAATTAATTCTCAACAGCATCAGTGACATCAGGGACAACCTGAGCACAAATATCAGATCAAATCAATCTAAGGAGAAGAGTCTTGTGTATTCAACCTCTGTCTCTGCCAAGCTAACAAAAACACTAGTTTCTATGAATTTGGTAAAAACTGTGAGAGTTTCAGTTTGTGACAGTTACCCAGCACATGTGTGAGAGCAGCCTGGTAAGCTGTATGGGGCCTCAACCATGTATAGGGGTGAAGTGGAGCAACATCCTGTCCTGCTATCTAGTCAGTGCATCTGTATGTTGGTGATGGATACAAAGCAACTTGAACAATGGGGGTGGGGGATGGAGGTGGGGGGATGATAATAGCAACAGTGCGGAAAGTTGTGACATTTGGACCATTTACGGTCAGAGGACTGAGAAGAAGAGAGCTGAGCAAGGACAGAAACGTCAAGATAAGTATTCTTGCAGCAGTCCTGCTCACCTTGTTGAATGTTACCTCAAGTGTTGTACAATGCTTTTTTGTCTGGGCCTCGTCTCAGTCTGTCAGAGGAAAATCTAATACCAGACACATTACACGTTTTCAGTTTAATTAATTGTTAATTTGTTAAGGATTTGTCATGAGAAAGATATAATTACCATGTCTGCAAAGTTGCTGGTGAACCTAACATATAGACTGCCAATAGACAGGAGCAGCTGTGCTGGGCACATAAGCTAACAAGATCCAACTATAGCCAACGTTAACGTTATATATTTTTATATAAACCTTATAAAACCTGTAACTGAACTGTTGGCATTCAAGGGCATCACTATATGTATTCCAGTTAGTTAGCTGTGATCTGTAACGTCCCAGAAGTGTACCTGGTTTCCTGGCTACTGCTATTGTCTAAAAAAATATTCATAAGTCAGGGTGGCCAGACGTCCCTGATTTCTGGGTACAGTCCCCATATTGGATGACCTGTCCCTGAATAAACATGTTGTGTGCAGTCCTGAACAACAGTTTTTACAGGGGTTATTACGGGTGGCATGTGTTGCTACTAATGAGTACTGAGAAGCAACTGAGTAAAGAAACAATTTAGGAAAGAAGGATACACAGAAAGAGAAAATTGTCTAACAAAGGAGTCCACTACATTCTAAGGAGACTAGAGGAACCTGGAAGTTATGATGATAGAAAAAGACCTGGACAAAAGAGAGTTACTACAAAAGCAGAGGATAAACATAGCATTGTCACCAGTAAGAGAGATCGACGACAGACAGCACCACAAATAAGGGAGGAAATCAACATGACAAGGTCGAAACTCATATCTCTGACAATGGTGAAAAGACATTTAAGAAAGGCTGGTCTGAGGGGTTGTGTATTTGCAAAAAAGAAACAGTACTTTGTCCACAGAACAAGAAAAATAGATATGAGTGGGCAAAAGCTCACAAAAATTGGACTTATGATGACTAGAAACAAGTTTGCACTGTTTGGTTCAAAACGCAGAGTCAATGTCCGCAGACAAACTGGTGAACGTCTGAAAGCACCATGTGTTACACCCACAATTCAGCATGGAGGTGGTAGTTCCATGGTATGGGGATGTTTTGCAGGTGATGGAGTAGGAGATTTGTTTGAAGTAAAGGGTATCATGAAGAAGGAACAGTACCACTCCATCCTCCAGCACCATGCTGTTCCATCTGGACTCAGACTTGTGGCCCATAAGTTTGTTTTGCAGCAAGACAACGACCCTAAGCAGTCTGCCAAGCTCTGTCAGGGTTACCTAGACAAAAAAAGAAGAGGAAGGTGTTCTTCAAAAGATGGTTTGGCCCCCTCAGTCTCCAGACCTTTCTCCAATAGAGCTTGTACGGGATGAATTGGATCAATCAGTCAGAAAGGCGCATCCCACGTATCAGCAATATCTTTTTAATTAACTTAAGAAAGCTTGGAATGCAATCCCTGGAACATACCTTAAAAACATGTGGAACGAATGCCTGGTATATGCCAAGCTGTTGTTAAAGCCAGAGGAGGTTACTTTAAAGAAAGCAAAGTCTAAGCAATAATAACTCAAATACCTAATAATTATAGTCAAAATGTCTTCTGATAAGTTACTCTTTACACAATAGTCATGTTTCTTGTGTTGCAAATTATATTAATGAAACTATGATCTTTTTCTGTACAAATCTGATCTTGCTTCCAAACTTTTGGCCTGTAGTGTATATGTACTGAGTGATTAACTTCATGCTGCTGATACACCCATACAGGACAAACTCAGACAAGACCACTGTAACCACAAGGAGTACCGTAGTCAACACAACTAAAAAGGTCCTTGAATACGGACTGAAACTCTTAGGGGTGTCTCCTGAGCAGACACCCCCTGCGAGAGGACGCCCTTCCCTCCCTGCACCCTCCATACTGATCAGTAGGATTTACTATGCACTCGTCCACAGTTCTCAGCCGGTCACACACGCCCTCTGGGTCGATCCAGGTCGAATTCAATTTGTAAGATATTATGTATTGATCCCTGTGCTCCACCTCCCCCCACACCCCCACCTCTTTGCAGCCCTGGCAGGCACTCATTGACCCACATGCACAATTCCTTGGATCATCCTCATCATCTCAGAAGTGTGGCAGTCTGAGCTAGTATTAGGGTTGGTGGCCTTAGGCCCCTGTTGGTGACCCTCCATTTCATCTGCTGCCTGAGATCACAAAATCTAAGACTGTGAATCAGTAGTGTTGATAAAGCTTTGTTGAAAGAAAATACAATCCACAGTCCGGTTTATCGGCTTTCTAGATGCTACAAGGGCTCTTTTATGAAAATCTGGCATCGAAAAATATTAAATCAGACCAATTGAGTTTCCTTGGCCTTCAGTTAGATGTTTTAGAAAATCTTCGATAGAAGCTTCATTTAGGTGGTTGTACTTCTTTATATCACTACTCTTATGTTTTTTCATAAAGAATTGATAACCAGACCCCCCCAATTGCTTGCTCCTCCAACATCAGCCATTTAGCTTAGCCAACAGCCTCTAAATCTCCCAAATCAATAGTTGTTCCCCAGTCTCTCCATCAAACCCACAAGTAAATAATTCAAATGAGATACTTAAGCCCCTTGGAATATAAATTATGGAGGGAAAAATCCTTATTGTGGTTTTGGTGTGCAATTTACAGGCTTATATTCTCTGTTGTGAACTGAGGGGGAACAGGATGGGCACATCTATAAATCTGTGGGTTAAATCAATGACAGCTGTGACTGGATAAATTGAGATCTGAGAGGCCTTTATGACTTTCTTATCAGATTTATATCAAATATTCAAGAAGCTGTAGATCATTTTTCTATTTCAAAATTTAACATGTTTTTAAAACAAAATGAAGACCCAGTGTCTTGGCTTAGGCCAGTGGCGAAACACACAAATGTCAGCGATGCAGAGCCTCAGACCTAGATTCCACCCAACTCATTTTGGTGCACCACAAATGACTGACACATTAACTGACAAGCGGAGGTCCTGCATGTCTGCCACAGATAAGAGAAATAAGGTCACATGCTAACAGGGGAGAAAGCGCTATGCCAAGGTGAGCAATGGCCATGACATTTCACAAAGTAGGCTAATTCCCCAGAAAATATAGAAAGGGCACGTTGCACATTATTGCGTCACATTGGTAATCATCAGCAAAGCACAAGTCATGCACTTTCTCTTCACTGTGCATACTTTGTCAAAGAGACATAAGCCATCACAAAGGGCACATACAATTAATTACACACTTTATTATGTGTATTCTAATAAAAAGTAAATGTCAGAAAAATCACTACTCTGTACAAGCAAAGAGGAAGAGAACAGATATAGAATTTTCCTTTTTTCATGCACTGTAATCTCGTGATATTAATTTATAATCTTGTTATCGCGACATAAAAAATTTGTTTTCTCATGATAACAACTCATAGTCTTGTTATCACAACATAACAAAGATAGTTTTCTCTTGATAACTACTCAATCTTGTTATCGCAACATAACAAAGATCATTTTCTCATAATGACTCAATCATGTTATCACGACATAAAGATAATTTTATCATGATAACAACTCAATCTTGTTATCGCGACAAAACAAAGATAATTTTCTAATGATAACGATTTAATTAATAATGTGTCTGCCGTTGTTATTATAGTTGTCCAATTCGCACATGGCAGTTAAATGTTCCCACCTTGAAAGTTTGATGTGCATGCACAAAGTGGAGCATGACGTCAGCGCTGTCATTGAAAACCCTAGCTTGCTGTTGACAATGATGGCTGGCTGCAGGCTTTAAGAAATATCCTACTCTGGGGGATGTTTTTTAACAGTTACCATTATAGGTGATGCCCTTTTCGTTATCACGAAAAAACGATCTTTGTTATGTTGAGAAAATGAAAAAACAAAAATTCATTTTTACGAGAAAACCAACTTTATTATATCGAGATGATGAGATAAGTGGTTATCAGATACCAGTGCATCAAAAAAGAAACATCCATGGCCGTTCTTGTCTTCCGTACAAACAATCTTCGAAACAAATCTTCCTTTGAAATGTTCATCTTTGCCAGAAGCTCCACGGAAATCCATGGTCTTGAGAACTTGAGGGACTGTGTGCAGGCTGAAGGTAGTACCAATGCATCCATTTGAGCAAAGAAGAGAGGAAAGAAAATGAAGGCAGGATGTCATCTCAAGAGTCCCTGTGGGCTGAGCAAAGAACAGCACTGTGGAGTTTCCTCACCGGCATGTGGGATTCCCTCTGTTTACCCCTTCACTTCCTGTCCCAGCAAGGAAGCCTGAAACACTCTCCGTCTCCCCTGGCAGGAAACACGAGCCAGCTTTGCTTTGTGAGTCACACCATGACCTTCAGCCAAACCAGAGTCACGTGAGCCCAGGGGAGAGTTTAAATGCTAAAAGAAAACAAATGTGCATGCTGACAACGAATTTTTATGTCTCACTCAGTGTGATGTTTTTTTCTTTTTCTTTTTTCTCATGTGAAGCCTCTTTGAAAGCAACAACAAATTGTATCATTCCAGGGGAGTTTCACCTCGCATGTGTATGTAAAATGACTGAGGCCTGCAAAAAACACAAGACGGAAATGTTGGGTCTCAAAGAGTTTGTCTTACTTTGAAGTTTGGGGATGTTAATAGTTGAAAGAGCCTTCATTCATTGTATTATAGCCCACAACATCATAGTGCATTATAAAATGTTTTTTTTATTTCTTTCTTTTTGTTTTTGTCAAATAAATAGATAAGAAGGTTGAACCATCCTCTTGACACATTATACAAATGAAAGTCACCCAAACACTGTTATCAGCTTGGTAACAGCCTTTAATGTGGTAGAGACTATCTGTAAGATGTTAGTCATAAACATAATATCATCACCCCTTTCGACAAAGCCAAGGAGTTGCATATAAGCGTGATGATAACAAACAACAGGGGAGTGAAGTGCTGTTCAAAGCCACATATACCACAATCAACCATTTTTGACCAATGTATTTATGTATTTACTTGCCTGTTGTGTACTGTTATCATGGGAGCAATCAGTATAAAAAGCAATGTCTGAAGTGATAACGGAGAGGGAAAAATGGTATTGGTACATCAAGAAGCTGAATCTAGCAGCTGGTTAGCTTGGCTTCCCACAGATGCTTGAACAGGTGGTAACGGCCTAGCTCAAACTGAGCACAGTGATGGAATAAGTAATCAGATCCTATAATTAGATAAAAGTACAAATAAAACACTCTTATAATACTCAATTACGAGTTATTAAAGAACTTATTCTGACGGTATTATTGAGGTATTACTTGGGCAGCTTTTGCTCAGTTTTGTCCTTATATCACAGGGGTTGATTCAAACTCCTTGTGTCCTTGTGCACAGAGAAGCCTGAATTGCTCCTGGTGACAAAACCAGCTGTTTGAAAGTGTGTGATATTGATAGGAACTTAATATAACATCCTCTGCCATCAGTGTATGAATGTGAGGTGAATGTGTGTGTATGACATGTAAAAACAGAGAAAGTTTTATGTTGAATCATTTACCATTAACTTTGCACTGTTAAATTGTTTATAACCCTGAAGGACACCCATTTTTATGTTTCACTGCATGTAGAATTAAACACTTTGGCAGATTGATCTTAAAGTAAAAGCTCCTGTGAGGAACTCTGTGTTTGTGTTGACTTTAGCGCCCCCTCTGGACAAAATGGTAACACTTTTCTTCTTGTTGTCTCCTTGTAAAAGTGGTGTTTATTTGTGAAAAAAAAAACTTCTCCTGTTGTATTTTTACAGCGTCCCTTATCTCTCACTGTGACTGTTTGCCATGGGAAAGGTAACTTAGTCTATTTATTCAGCATACCTCCCCCTCACAGCAGTAACAGGCATTTAAAATTACAACATAGAAATTGTAAATCTTGTCATCAATGACCTTATTTGCTTTTGCGCATCATGGACACATCACTGTTTGTTACGACCTGTTTCAAAAACTCCTCACTGGAGCTTTAACTAGTGTAGTTTACTCTTTTCAACTGGGTTTTTCAGACCCATGGTTGTACTGTTTTTACAGATCCATAATGTGACACTGATGCAGTGGTGACACAAACACTGTGTCAAAACACCCCAGACTAAGTTTTGGCTAATAATTGGCCTATAAGGTCAGTGAAACACAGATCGACCCCTAATATTTGCTTAATTTCAGTCTGCGAATTTCCTCGATAAAATACGAGGATGATGCTCAAAGTTTATCTGACGTCTGTTATTGGTACTTTCATTTATTTAAAGCAGAAACAGATTCAGCTTTTTAAAAGATTCCCAAACTGACTGTGATATTTTCTAAATAAAAGACGCTAAGTTAGAAATTCAAATCAACATGATTTAGCTGCCGTGCCCACTCTCACATCATCTTCTTTATTTCTATCCATGTTTGTTTCACAGAAGCTCCTCGGGGGCACAAAATGTATTACAACAATGGCAAAGTGGCAAACCTAAAATGAGTCATCCATCATTGCAATTTTCATGAAGCAATTAGAAATTTGGAGTTCCATACAGAAAGTTTAATAAAACCACGCTGACAAATATATTAAGTGAGAGCAGTGACTCACTTCTAATGGTTTGCTACAGGCAGCTCACAGACGTCCTTTTGAAAACCAAATCAGAAACTCCACAAAGTTTCCAATATCAGCGTAATGAAGACAATCAAGCTTGTGGAGAGAAATACATATGATTCAAAACTAATTTCTACTTAATCACTTTTAGTACAATAAAACCTATGGAGTGGTCATAAGTCATAATTCTTGTAATGCTAACTTTCTTCTGGGGTTACATAGTTGCCCCACTCGATCGTAAGTTTAGCAAGAAAGAAAAATTGAGCTTTATGTTATAAACTAAATTAAACACATCAATGATAAAAACCTATCCAGAAGTAGCCTGGGGATTTCAGGATTCATGGGTCATCATGGGTTCATCCTTTCATACTTTCTTAGTGAAAACCTGACAAGTCAAAGAATCATATTTGTATCAAATGTTGAAGCAACCCACGGAATAGTCCATTGATTGTTTTAGCCTGGGTTAAACTATCCGGATGATCAACAGACTGCTTCGATCATCCCATGCAGTGAGCACAATTCTTAAGATCCGTTCTGTGTCGTTTCTAATGCCAAGTTTTTCTATTCAAACTTTCCCTGCTTTTCATTTCCTCTGTTAAACCAGTGGACTACAGTATGTCAGAATATATAAGCTCTGACTGAGTGATGACTGGCTGTTGTTTTTGTTTCGAAGTTGACTGTCTTGGAAGTGTGCTTCCTTCCTGCCCTCCAGATCTCAGGCAGCTCTGTCTAAGTTTGGTGTCATGGGCCAACAGTCAGAGACAGGGCCGGCGGTGAGCCTGGACTACATCAAACACACACCAGACGCTGCAGCCGGAAGACAGGCAGGAACTGTGAAGCTGCGCTCAGCTCTGTCACTGTCTATCATCAAAAAAAAGGAAAAAAACAAAAAACAAAAAGCTGACCTAGAAGGAGCGGTGCTGCGTAGATGGGGGTGTCAAACAGGTGGGGAGGGATGTAAGCCAAAAAGCAGACTGTTTTCTGTCAGTGTGTTCTTCTGCTCAACCCTGTCTGAACTTTGTGTTCATGGGGGGAGAGAAAATGAGAATATCAGAGTTTTTCTTGGTGCAGGGCAATTATAAAACACAGTACATGCCAATTTTTCTGAGGGAAAAGGTTATTTTCAGCGGATGGAGATAGACTTTCCACTCGACCTGTGTATAATCAAAGCGGCATAACAATGAAACCAGGTTCTTGCTGTGGTTTCCCCCTGCAGCTTTTTGACATTTAGCAGAGCTGTCTTTTGACTTAATGAAATGTGAATGAAGAGAGAGAAGAAGTAACATGTGTGATTGTTGTTGCACTCATCTACTCCATGCAGCCAACATTTCTATGCTGAGAACACACACACATTTAGAATAAATTAATGGCTGCAGTCCAAGATTTATACCCAATGTGAGCATGAGATAAATCTGAAGTCTTGCGCCTGCTAATGTCAGTCCTTTTTGAAGCATTGGGAAATTGGAAAACGCATTAGTTCACAATCTGTTTAACATCTTCGGTTCAAATACAAACATATCAAACCTGAACAGGTCCAGACAGGCCTCACACCAAACCAAGCTTAAGTAAGCTGATCCATGACTAGAGGAAAACAGCCCAGACTGGACCGAATCACAGGCCTCAGATCAGTCTACACAGATCGTCTCAGCCAGTCTGGGAGTATTGATCCCTCTGATTGATCCAAGGCTCTGTCCATCTGCCCGATTCAGACCTCCCTGCCACGGAGTACACAGACGAAGAGGTGGGGGACGAGGTGGTGGAAAAGGATAGTGGAGCTAACATAAACAGATGAATCCAGATAGGACGGTGCATAGGGAAGTGTAGGCGGAGTAGGAGGCGATCGAGAGTCTGGCCAGTCTCGTCTGGACAGCTGGTGTTGATAAGTAATCTGCCTGTTGCTGGCTCTTTTTTGTAAAACATGAAACCCAGCAACCTGATAGCGTGAATTAATAAATGGACAATTTTCTTCTACAACGGGGGCCCCCCTCTGTTCCACTGGGGCTTCTTTACACGGACACAATAAATGCAGAGAGGGGCCCACAGGGGTGTTCATTCCCTCAAGTGCTAACTACACAGACCACTGCATGACTGAGAACCACTTGATCAAATAATGACACCAGCTCATGTAGCCGTCAGAGTAATATGCAATGAGAGATCTGTGAATAGCATTCGGGAGGGAAGTGACTGCTGCTTCTCTGTTTCTTTTTTCGGTTATTTAGAGCAGGCCTAATAAGCAGTGTGGGTGGTGAATAAGGAACCATTAGCTCAATAGCTGAATGAAGTAAAGCTCAGGCTTGTGCTTCTTTGCTTTTCACCCTCAGCAATGGGAACACCTGCACTGAGACACAGGCAGGGTGTGGGAGGGGCAGAGTAAAAAAAGAGTGTCAGGGTAGGAGGTGGGAAGGCGTACTCTAGGAGAAGAGTGGGGTTGAGGAGTAGAAATAAATTGAGACCGATTCTTAAATAGCTTTCTCACAAAGAATTAGATGAGGATATCAATAATCTGCATTCAAATTGTGGCCTTTACCTCTTAGTTAAGCTCTAGAAAAGTGCTACAGTTACAATGTTGTACCGCTGTTGTGATGTGAATACTATATTTCATATTTCCACAAATAAAAAAATAAAAATAAAAAAGATACAAAGCCATATTTCAAGTGAGACAACCTTTTTTTATTGGACTAGATAACTCCCCACACACTGTTTTTCTCTGATGTAAGATAGCTCTAACTATAATTCGGGGAAGACAGGTTACTAAATTCACGTCTAGGTGACAGTCACAGAAAGCCAAGTCATCAGGCCCCCATGTAAGCATGTATTGATCCAGGGTATCTGCGGGATCTTACAAAATATTAAAACATCTAAAATCCAATAATTTGCCCTAAAATGCCTAAAATTATCTTTAAAAATCTTAAAATGATACTAACTCTACTTACAAATCAATAACGTGCCAAAAGAATAAAGACTGCTTTGAAGTAATGTAAAATGTTCATATCTTTTGTACTTTTTTGCTAGTATGGATGTTAAATGGGTCTTAAATTTTATTCATTATGGTCTTTAAAAAGTCTTTAAAAAATCTTAAATTTGACTTGTTGAACCTGCAGAGACCCTATTATAACATGTTAGTGTCAGCCTGTTTCTTCTCACTGGAGCCTTTGACTAACCAGCATGCTAATAACTGATTGCTGTGTCATATCATGCTAGCTACAAACATAGCCCAAGGTCCTCATATACTACAGTCCTTTCATTCGCTTATCAATGATAGCAGTTTGTCAACATTTTTGTAGTTAGAAATCAAAACGTAATACAAAATCATAAAACATTTGAACTTCCTGTTCTTAATGGGATATCATGGAAAACAATCATCATATTGTTAGCTTATGCTGCGTTCGAGTCAGATGTCGGAGCTGAAAATGACATCACACCCGAGTTCCCGGCCTTTCAGTTACCAAGTTGGAGAAAAGCAAAATCGGAGGCCTGAAACAAGAAAATAAGACAAGCGCTAAAATAATTTTCATTATGTACGGACAAGGCAAGCGCTAAAATAACTTTCATAGATGTAGCCACTTTGTTTCTGCCTCCGATTTTGCTTTTTTCTGACTTGGTAACTGAGACTCTGGGAACTCGGGTGTGACGTCATTTTCAGCTCCGACATCTGACTTCTGAGGTAACTCAAACGCAGCAGTGGCATCAACCATCAGACTGGGAACAAGAGAAAACAACAAGCTATGCTCTGATTAACAGTTACAAAATCTGTCCTGCAGCATTTCAGAAGATCACTTTGCAAATTGTTCATTATTGCTTATCAAATCAGTTTGAAATTTTCCAGAAATTATGAAAATAAGTGATTTTATTTTGGTCATGTTGTTGGGTATTTGTGTCTAAACTACATTAGCTCTGTTAAATTGCTATTCCATAAGTCAAAACTTCTTCAGCTCAACCTCTATTCCTCCAGACTCTGTATCTTGTTTGCTCTCACTTCTTGGAAAGAGCACTCATCCTAGATGTCTGTTTTGCAATTGACAGCTGCAATTGATGAAACTGATGACCAAAGGTGAAAAGAATGAGACTGAGGTATTGTGGGCGCTGAGTGAGCCTGTCAGAAGGCTGATGTATGGCAGAGCAGATGCAGCGGGGGGGAGCTGAGGGACGGGGTGGGGGCGGTTATAGGCTTGGCTGAGGTAAGCTGGCAGGCGGGGCAGAGAGAGGAGAGGAGTAAGAACAGACAGAGAGACAGAAGAGTAGAAGGCATGTGAGCTATGTGATGATTATCAGAACACACAGGGGCCGTCTGTTTTCCACCCTGCCCGGCCTGGGAGGCACAGGGCTGGGTCCCTGAGCAGGTGTGCAGGGTGGAGAAACACAGGAGAGGGAGGGGGGAGGAGCACAGAGACAGTCAGGGGAAATGGAAACTATAGTAGGAGTGAAAAGGACAGGAAAAGACAAATTGGATAAAGACAAAGGTGAGTATTGATAAAAAGACAGAAATACAGACACAAGGTTTTGATGACATCCTAGCCGTGAGCCATCATGTGCAAGATGAACAGAACAGAGAACAGAGGTCAGAATAGGTGGAGGAGAATGAAACACCGGCTTGCTGGAAGCTATCCCGGTCATTAGCGTCTCTCGCATGGCTCAATAAAGAGCTCAGACAGTGGAAGACTGTATGCCTTCCAGCATTCGTCTGTATGGTTAGATGTCAATATAGAAACAGCAGTGTATCAGAGGAATCAGAGGGATCAATGGAGAGGAGAGCTGAGAGTAACTGGATCACTGTGACCCTCTACTGACCCTTTGTCACCAGGACACACACGCTTTGTCACCTGTCCCCGAGATGCACACCTGCCCCGCTCTCTTTCTCTCACAGATACACACAATTGACCTCTAACCTCACTGGTTTATTGCTAAAGCTGGTCACATTTGTCCTTCCTCTTTTCATCATTTAAAGCAAATTGACGTCCATTGTATTCCTGACTTTAACTTTCAAATTCAAAACAGAGAGGTCAGACACTGAAACGTGTTTTAGATCCACTTGGAGGCAGAACTTTTGTTCGTAGTTTAAGTTGAAGATGCCCCTCTTGAATCAATCTTTGGTCGTAGCTCCAAAATCACAGCTGTTCATAAAATGAAACCAAACCTGTCTACTCCCCTGAGGGTGCTCATGGTTACCGTAAGTGTAGGCATATGAAACCACTTATTTGATTAGCTTTTTTGTATGGCATTTTTTGGAGGGTTTTATTTTGAAAATTTTAACGCTTTTTGTGTTTGATTACTAAACCGTGTGTCTGATGCATGCTGACTTGTTGACGACTATAGAGGGCATTGTTAAATCTCGTACTCTTATGTTTTCACCTCAGTAGGGAACACATTCAGCTGGCCTGTAATAACATATAGGCGCAATTGTTAAAATTGCTGTTGCTATTGTTGATAAAATGAAACGTTTTCTTCACAGAAGCCAAAGACAAATCTATGAAAACACATCCGTGCACTAGCTGCTTTAAAAAAAAAAATGCTTATCTCGTGCTTCTCTTTCTGACTGTGTTTGAAATCTCTGAAAGGGCAAATAATTGGCTTGTGACTCCGCAGTGCAACATAATTAAGCACAGATAAATCAGCAGAGACCAGCGTAGGCCCTGTCTGTATACACATGCATGCACACATGCACACAAATACACAGCCTCTGTTAGTGTGTCATCTGCTGCTGCTTCTGGTAAAGAGCGCAGGCTGTGGGAGTGCAGGGACATTTCTCGCTAAGGGAAGTGGTGGGTTTTTGTGGTCTCGTTTTAGCCCAGTGTGTTGAGAAATGGCCAAATGCTGCTTTCATTTCGAGGCGAGAGGCTAGCAATTACACTGTGCTGGTCACGTGAGCGAGATGCATGGCTTTTTATTGCACCAGCGAGCCCCTCCAAGGCTGATATGCCAAGAATGAAAAATAAAGAGTCGACCCCTCCCCCTCTTCTCCTCCACCCTCCAACACTCTGACCCTCCCCGAGCACACACTCAAATAAACAGACACACA